TTGATATGCAGTAGATCAATTGTGCTGATATCTATATCCTTGTGCTCCATCCATTAGTTTGCAAATAAACTTATTTCATACCATGATATTTTGGAGCTGACTTCTAATAAGAATTTTCCTTTACTATAATTATTACAAGTCTGTAAAGTCTTTTTTCAGTAATAATGTTGATTTATTTATATTTTAATGGATCCACTTTATTTAATCTATGTTAGCTACTTTCACAAGTTTCAAGTCTTTTATCCTATAGAAGTTAATATCTATGCATGAATCAATCTTGTTTGATCGATGTCTTCGTCTAAGGAGTATGTGACTAGTTTCAATATTAACCACAGTTACTTGTAAGAATGTTGTGGATGATAGGTAAGTAGAATTGCAAGTTGAGAGGAGTGACTGGTCTGTGTGTCTTCATTTGCTAACTTTTATTCACACATCATTGAAGCTTTACAATAAACTATTCCTATCATTTTGGCAGAATACATATTCAAGTCCATCAAATCAATAAAGAAAGATCTTTTTTCCATTTTCTTTCTATAATTGCCATTTAGTAATCTTGAAGTCTAGTCAAAGTTGAAGATGACTTAGGCACATATTGACCATATCATCCCTATAGTTCAAATATAAATTGATTTTCTTCTACTTTAATATTCTTTTATAATTTTTTATTTTTTAAATTCACACTCTTTATGAATAATATTTTATATATATATATATATATATATATATATATTCTTAAAGCCTGGGACTTAAATGAATTTTGGTCTGGAAATTTTACTAGTATTCACAATAATGCTGCAAAATAAAAACTGAAGATAGATACTTTTTTTTTTTTTTTTTTTTTTTAAAACATTCTAAGATTATGCACTTATTGATGCACTTTCCAGTAGTTATTCTCTTTTGGTGTACATTTTTCTACTATGCTGAACTGAATCTACTATTCTTGCATAGGTATTGTGCAAAAGTAAATAAAAAAAAAAAGAGAAGCTTTTATAAGCTAATTGTTTGACTTTTGTGTATAAAAATATTCTATACTAGACATTTTAAATCTTTTGATTTTATTAAATTTTATTTCTTGATGATTAAAAGCAATTTTAATATTTAATTAATGACATTTTAGGTGTGAAAAAGGAGAATAATCATTTTCAAATATTAAAAAATTCATGTTTTAATTTTTTTTTTTTTTTTTTTTTTTTAATCTTAAAAATTAATTTTTGATTGAATATTTTTCACAAAGCTGAATTCTACAATATGTTCTAATAAAAACATATACAAATTTTCCAGCCAAAACAATTTATTTCTATTCTATTTCCAATTCAAAACATATTTTCCATTTTCAAATAAAATTTTAACTGATAAATATTTTTAGCATCCAAATTAAGTTATCTATAAAGGTGATATTTTCTAGTGATATCATAAACTTAAATAGCAAGTGTTGAATAACTTAGTTGCACAAAAATTTCTTAAATACCATCTTCATAAATAAATTTGTATAAATGGGTACTGAAAATTTTGAAATGTGATTAATTAAGTGAGCATAACAAATCAACACACAACCAGGATAAAAAAAAATAATAATTGTTCCTTGTATTGTTATTGTTTCCATGAAAACTAACACACGATGTGCTTTTGGGATGTTGCTACCTTTAGCCCTTATTTTTATTTTCTATCATTCAGCTATTTATCCAGTGTTGTATCATGATATAACTAGCTGTTCTGTGTACAGTGCTATTACAGGACAAAAACATTCAGTGGAATAATGGATAGTAGCTCAGATTGAGGAATCAGAAAGTCGAGTTTGAATTCGTCAAATCCATTACATTCACTTATGTGCTAATACTCTTGGGAAAGGTACGAATCCTCTTCTTCTCCCCCCAGATATGGGTAAATAACATGACAGACTGGGTTCTATAGCCTTGGATGGCAACTGGTCTACTGCAGAAAGAAATGGCAACCTACTGCAGGAAAAAAATCTGCTTCATCAGTCATGTATCTAAAGATACATGATCGCCTAAGCATGTATCACGCATGGCACATAACTGAATTATATTGAACAAGTTTTATATTTATGTTTAATTATCTTTGATAAGTGGACATTGTTTATCTAGCACATTTAGAATATATACCGATGATACTTGATGCATATAATGTTTCATCTATGTTGAAAATGTTTAGCTGTTATTTTAAATAGCAATGGACTAAAGGTTGCAGAGTACTAAGCAATCGTTTTTAGTTCCTATAAAATCTTGCAGATTTTAAATATGTAGTTTTAAGATATATATATATATATATATTTGAAAATTTTTTTTTTGTTTTCAATTGAAGCTGTAGCTTAGTGAAGATAAAACTGTGTATCCTGGTATAAACTTGCTAATTTTAAATGTAATATAGAAATTGGATAAAATATTAACTTTTCGTAATTGCTGTTAGAATGTGAGCAAGATTTGTATCCTGTCTTTTACTACAAAAGATAGTTTTTCACACAAGGTATTTATTAAAGTGCTGAACTGTTTAAACTGAAAGGATTTATTTTATTTATTGAACATTGATTAAAAGTATGACAATATTAATTTGTATACTTTATCCACAAGTATTTCAAGTTGGTGTAAAGAAACTTGGATGGATAGAATTTGTGCTAAAGAGATGGCAGCAGAAACTTAAAATTTCAGTTGGAGATAATGTTGCTCTTTTTATCCATTTTGCAAGCTCTGGTATATAGTTATTATACTTGTGGAAGATATGATTTTTTTTTTTTTTTAATTAAAATTTATTGCCTGCAAAAAGTCTGCATACATTTTTAAACAGTAAATGCATAAATTGGAATTCATATAGTAAAACGTTTATTTCTCAGTTGACTTGCAGAGTTACATTAAATGAAGATTTTAATGTATATCCTGTTTGATAAACTAAATTGTAATAAAGGGCAAAAAACTGACTAATTCCTATAGATTAGTTGCTTCTTGTTGCATTAGAATGTTTCTCTATCATATTGATTAACAAACTAGATTTTATATTTGTAGCTCAATTCTAAGTAAATTCTTCAAATCTGTAAAAGTTTGTATCAAGTTATTCTCTTTGCTTGGAATCATTTCATACTGTATTATTTGTGCTTTAAAGATATATTTACTGTTGAATTTTGTATTCTTTATTTTTAAGGCAAATTATTCTACATTCTTGCCAGCATGAATTATCTGAGAAAATTGCAGTGTTTTCATTGATCATTAAAATGTAGACTTCAGAATATATTTAGCAACATATAATTTGTCCTTGCAACATTCAACAGTTTATTACAATTAATTGGGTAAACTTGAATAAACTCAACATCAAGATACCAAGTCAGTTTATGCCATCGAGTTAATATTAACTATTTATTGTAAAATATTTAAAATAAGTGATTTCTTAAATTTATCAATTAGTGGTAAGTCATTGAAAGATTTAGCCCCTCCCTTCTTATGTTTTTATGAGAATTTAGTTTCAGTACACATACACAATTCTTCTATGGAAGAAGAATTGTGTGTGTGTATGTGTACATACAAATTGTGGAGAGCCATATTATGGCCGTCCACAATTTCCTGTCCTTTGTAAATCTCAATAAAGTTTGTCTTTTTGCTCTCTCTCTTAACTCCTGTTCTACCAATCATTTACACAGGTTCATTATGTAGGTTATGTGATGCTTTCCTGTCCCTTGTTTCACTTCAGTATGTCCTGTAAGTGTGAAATTTTCTAAGCCCTCTTTCCTTATTGTGTACCCTAGAAATTTCAACTATCTCTTTCTGTTGTTAAGAATGTCCTTTTTGTTTCCATTTTTTTCTAAAACTTTTTCATTACTCACATATTCAGTTCAGGTATCCTTATGTTGAACCATATTTCTGTTGCTTTAAGTCTTTTCATCTGTGAGGAGATTGTCCAGCATTCACTGCTGTATAGAAGGACTGATATTGCATAACAATTCAGTACTCTTTTCTTTATTTTTAATGAGATTTTTCTGTTTTTTAATACTTTGTTTAGCTTCCAATTCTTAACTTTATTTCCAATGTGTCTTTAGATTTCAGTTTCACACTTTCCATCCTCTGTTAAAACATTTCCTACATATTTAGATTTACTTGCTTGGTTTTGGCATCTCCAATTTGTAATTCACATGGGCTGTTCCTTTTGCTGACAACCACACATTCTGTCTTACAATTGATGTTTAGTTCTTTTTTTTCTTGCTTTTCTTTACTATCTTCTGTAGGAGTTTTCTTTCTGTATCTATCAACATTGTGCCATCTGTATATCAAGTGTTAAGATTGTGGCTCTCAATAATGAATCTACTTCAGAATTTCAGGACTTCTAATTCTCTCAGGATTGCTTCACTGTAAAGTTTGGATAAATCCAGTGAGAGGACACATACTTTTATGCCCCCTTCTATTTTTGTGCATTTATTGAACTCTTTTTTTTTCTTTTTTTTTTTTTTTTTATCCATATATGCAGGTGGTTTGCTCCCAATATAAGTTCTGGATTATTCTAATATCCTTAACAAATAAATTGAGCTTACCTAGAAGTTCAAACAGTTCTTTGTGACAAATTTTATTAAACACTTTAGCATAATCTATAAAACATAGGTACAAATCTTTTTGCATTTCTGATATCATTCTAGACATAAATATTCAATTTCCTTGTTACATGCTTTATTCATCAACATTTGGATAAGTTTTGTTATATGGCTCATTAGGCTGATTGTCCAGTGGAGTTCATATTAGTTTGCACTTGGCTTCTTAGGTATATTTCATTTGTTATGTTTAATTTTGTCAGTGCTGAAATCATCTAAAGCTGCCACCATCTCTACTACAATTTTATCTGGTCCTGCTTTTAAAAAAAATGCTAAGGGAGATGATTCTGACTTGACTGATGATTCGTTCCCTTCAATACATTTAAAAAAAAAAAAAATTTTTTTTTTTTAACCTGTTATTGATTTTGTTAGGACATCTTGGTTTTGACTTTTTTCTCCATCTCTTTTTCTACAGGTATCTTCTCCTATAGCATCTTTGTTTGTAGCTATGCAGCACAATGTTACAGTTAATGGTAAGTGTGATATATATTTGCTGGTGATTTTAATGTCATTAGCTCATACCATCCTAGTGTCAGTTTAAACTGGCATCTTTTCATTTCTCCATATATCTAAACTATAATTATAAATGATAATTTTAGAAAGTAAAAATTCTGCAGAAATATGTTGGGTGGAGGGAAACCAACCTTCAACCAAAATGGCCACAATATATAGAAAAAGGAGAAACCGGTTAAATATATCTTGTGTTCAATTTACAATGATCAATTAATTTTTGTAATGTTTTACATTGTTAGTCAACTGATATATGAGTATACTGATCCCCAGTTATATAATCTATTTGATAATAAGCATACTGATAATTACATAAAAATTCAATCTAAAACTGATTTAAAATCAGGGAAAAAATTTTCCTCAAATTCCAATTCTATTTCCATTTATTCTATTAGATTTCTAATGATTTGTTATTGTTTTATTTTATATTATAAATGTATTATATCTTCAATTTCAGGCAGTGACAATATGCAGTTTAGTTACTATACATATGGTCCTAAAGATACATTTGCTATCTTTTTCTACATGCTCATCTGTGTTGTCATTCATGCTGTCATCCAAGAATATGTCTTAGATGTAAGTTTTTATTATATAATTAAACAAAATTTACTTTGATTCATTGTTTAACTTTCCTTTCTTGACCAGTCTAGGTTGATACAAAAGCTAGTCTTGTTCAGTACGTTTACTTTTTTATACATTGCCAATACAAAAGTAGATGTTGCCCAATACTTCACAAGTATTTGTATAAAATAAAAAATATCTAGTTTTCTTATTAGTATAAATTATATAAAATTTGAATGACTTTGATTTGAATTAATAAGTCTTGATATTAATGCATTTTTCCCCTTACTCTGCTTCTTTTCACAAAAAAAATTTTATAAACGATAAGGCTATCACGTTGAAATACTGTTTCTCATACAATTACAGAAGTTAAGCAATGTCAAAGCTGGTCAGTACCTATGTAGGTGACTGCTTAGGAATACCAGGTGCTTTAAGCTTGGGGTGCAGTTGGTTCTAAATCTGAGAGAGTTCCAATTCCATTTGAGTTTGTTAATTTATGCACCAATACCTTTGGGAAAGGTATGAATCCATCTCTTCTCTCCAAGCTATGGGTTAATTAGTAGGACTTGTATCAGTAGATTATTATCCAAAATAAAAAAAATTTTTACAATCATCAAAAAAAAAAATTTGTGGTATTAAGTAACCTGCAAATAATTAAGCCATAAAAAACAATCAATATATGAACCAAAATTAAAATGTTATAATGTCTTATCTATTTGTCTTTTTCTAGTAATGTTCTTGTTTGGGGAAAAGTAAGGAATTAGAAAAGTAACTTAATTCTTGAATTAGGATTAAGCAATATTATGAAACTGATCAAATATTTTGTAAATGTTCTTCCTCCCTAATTTAGTTTCGCCAAACATTTTGTAAGATTTTTAATATTTTTTTTTTTTTTTTTTTTTTTCAGAAAATTAATCGCAAAATGCATCTGTCAAAGTTGAAACACAGTAAATTCAACGAATCTGGTCAGCTGATAACATTCTATGCAGCATCAATTATCTGGGGGGCAGATATCATCATAAGGGTATGTATTTAAAAAAAATAATTTTATTTGTTTTGTAAATTAGTTTAAGCTTTGAACAATTTCCATATTTAAACTCTTTGATTGTTCTTTTACAAAATCTGAGTAATTCCTCTTGTATGTGTCATTGGTTATTTTTTCAGGACAGATCATGAAAAACTTATTGGTGTAAGTCACAGCAGAAATCATAAAAACTCAAATTTTGTTGCTTTATTAAATTTGATTTCATGTAAGCAGATTTATTAGATAAATAAAGCGATGCTTGAGAGAAATTCAGATGATAGCTTATTAAATTTATTACCACAATGTCACTTTAAAGAACATCTTTTAATAAATATTAAGTTTTTAATTTTTGAAAACGATTTATTGAATATAAACCTTGAACTTAAAAAATAAAACTAATAAAAACAATTACTGATGGATAATACAACACTTTATGAAACAATTTGTACAGATATGTATCCTAATGTTTAAAATGAAATCAACTAGACTTAAAAAAAAAATTGTCAAATATCTGTAAAAGATGAATAATTGCTTTCTTGTAACTTTTCTCTGATAAAAATGTCTTATTTGTGCAATTAGGAAAAAAGTTTTATGTCTGTATTCTCTTTTAAAATAGTAATTTTAAAGAAAAATTATATGGAAACTTAAAATGTTCTTGTTTTATTATTTAGGACAGGAGTTACCTTTAATAACAAACAAAGTTTATTTTTTTATCTTTTTATTTATTATTATTTACTTATTTATTTATTTATTTTTTTTTAAAAAGAAATCCTACATATAGACAAAAATAATTAAAGACAATCTGGAATTCATTTTCTGAAGATGATTATAAATTTACAGATTTTCATGCAAAATATTTTCTTTTTAATATGGGGAAAAATTCATTTGTTTTACTTGTCTAATAGATCAGTTACAAATATGCTGTCAATAGACACTGTTTACATGTGAAGTTAATAGAAAATAAATTTTAAACCATTCATTACTAGAAACAATGCTTCTCTTTGTCTTATTAGTAGTAAGCCACTTTTAGTAAGGGAGACAAGTTAAGTTTTTATTTACAAAATTGACTAAAAATCTATGCTTATTAATGCAATCATTGACTTTTTTAAAAACATTTATATTGATAAATTTTCATTTAAAATTGTAAATTGGTGCTGCAAAATATTTCTCTTAATATAACCAACCTGTTTTTATATACACACACACACTCTAATTGGCACAAAAGTTTCTCCAGGTAGCATACTTATAACTATTGCAGTTGAAAATAAAATAAATGTTACCCTGTATTCATAGTCTTCCACCAAGTAGGAATTGCACAGCAACATATGTAAGGTAAGAGATAATCAAAGGTTTTTTGTTTTTTTTAATAAATAAACAACTTGAATTTTGTCAATATGAGACTGTTACTCACTTCTAGTTGCCAGAAAAACAAATTTTGGTACTTTGAAAAACCAATTACTCTATATTGGATTTTGCTAGGTTTATTGCCTATTTGTGACAAATCATAAATGGCATTATTCTCTTTCCTCCCATACTGCTGGTTTTATGGTATTAAAGGCAATGTAAATTATATTTTACTGTCTATATTTCCTTTTTCTGCTATTTGTGATGTATATATTTAATGTTTTCCAACATTCAGGTGTTAGAATTGTAATGTATTGTATATTATAGCTAATATGATTACATGATTTCAAATGTCCTTAAGCTATATCAAAAATGCAAATTTTCTGAACAAAACTTAGAATATTAATTCTATCATAATGTATTATAATTTTCCTTGCACAGACAGAAAATTATACACTTTCAATCAAACAGCTCTATCTTGTGATTCTTTAAGTTTGTTTTCTTTTTAGTATTCTTACTTTTTATATATTTTTTCATTTTACAGGAAGCTTACATCAGTAATATCAATGCATTATGGGAAGATTATCCTCATGCTGAAGTTCCGTAAGTATATACAAACATACTTTGTCCATTTTTGTAATGTAATTTTTTTATTTATCATATCCTACAATATAACAGGCCTGTATATAAACATCACAAAGCAGTAAGTACCGAAACCTGAGATATATAATATATATGCGTTTGTGTAAAAATTCGGATAAATAAAATATTTCTGTAAAGATAATATAAATAAAGAATATACAGGAGGAAACATTTTTATGCTAATGCATTATGTTCCTTGAGGAACTGTATCAAGGAAAGTGTGGAAATTTTATTTAACCTTTATCTATACACAAAGTAACGTGAAAAAAATGTCACTAAGTTTTAAATTTTGAATTAGAGAACACTCTAAAACATTCTAAAGTTATATAACAGTAACTGAAGTACCCTGGAAATGCACACAAAACATCCTTTATAAATAGTAAATATGTAAACAGCACAATGCTTTCTATATGAGAAATTAAAAAAAAATAAAAACCAAGTTACATGGTAAATAATGAAAATGGAATCCTCCTACAACAATAAATCCAAAAAATGTAAACTCTGTCTGAAGGACATAAAATAACTATAACACCTACCTAGACAACCCAAATTGCTAAATAATCAGAACTTACCTGAAAATTCAAATATGAAATCAAATTTTTACTGCATTACTTAAATATTAAAAACTATAAACAAGTACCTTGTAAAACATCAACCTGAAAATTCAAATATATACAACACAGATAATCTAACATGCATTAAACAAAGCCAATACCTTAAACTAAACAAGATGTCATGTCCTTTCCCCATAACAAAGCAAAAATATAAATAAATTAAATAATAAACAAACTATGAATACACATAAACTAAAGTAAATCTAATAATAAATAACAACAAATAATTAAATAATAAATAATGAGCGAAAAGTTAACAACACTCTAAAATAACTGCATTTGGATCCACAATTATTACTACTCAATAGCTTCTAGAATAATTTTAAACAGAACCGTCACCACCTACCTAATAGACCTTTCTACCCATAATGCACCATTGACTAGTATATATAAATAGTTGAGCCAAAACACATTCAGTGAAACGGTTATCTTGGTTTTGCATGTCAAGCATTAAACCATCATCACTACTTTTCACTACGAAAGTGTAAATGCACATGATTATCCAGTGTCTAGTTCAGCAGATTCAAGTATGCAAGCCCCTTGGATTAAACTTTTAATAGACTTTTTTGTATTATGAACTGAATTTTGACAGGCTCATGGATTAGTTCTAAGCACATGCATCATTAAATTCAAAGTTTTGGACAAAACTGTATTATAAATCATTCTTTTGTATAATAAATAAAAAAGGTTAAATGTATTAACTTTTTTTTTTTTAAAAACTTGAATTTTATAACTTTTTTGTATCTAAGTTTACTGTAGCTCTTTCAAGAAGTCATGAAGATTCTATTTTTAAAATGTGGAAGTTATGACTTAACTATACCAGAAATTTTGATAGCATTTGAAGAAAAAAAAAAACTACTAGTTATAATATTACAAATATGAACATTTCGTTTTTATATATATAATCTCCAATCAAGGTCCGTCAGTTTAATTTTTTATTGTAGTCTTTCCAATTTTCAGATAAGGTGTTGAGTATTGTTCCCGTAGTTGTGGGTAAACTGTCCGAAGTTCATATTTTATTATTTTGGTTCTAGTATTTTTGACTTTCGGTCATTATCAACAATCAATGTGTGGTAGTTGGAATTTCTTTGTCTGCATCCTGGTATTCTTTGGGAAGCCGAACATTTGAAATGGTCAATTGGGAACAAGGCTGCACAAAAAGAATGAGATTTATTTTTTATTATAATACAGATAAAATATGTGCACACATTAATTGCATCATATGCACTTCAAGATCCCTTCTCCTGTGGTGAATGATATTTTATTTAATGTGGACTAACTACCACACCAACATCACATTGGTTCTTGATAATGACTGTGAAAGTACTTGAACAAAAATAACAAAATATGAACTTTATGCACAACTTCAAGTGCAATACATGACACCATATCTGAAAAATGAAAAAATACATTAAAAAAATTCAACAGACAGACCTTGTTGGTTCTTTTAATCAAACTTGTTTTAGATGAATACTTCCTGCCTAAATATATCTTATTCAAATATATATATATATATATATATATATATATATATATATATATATATATATATAGTGTATGTGTTTAAATTAATGAATTCATTGTTAAAAGTCTGTATTTTCTGTATATTAATGTTTTTTTTTTTTTTTCTTATCTAGCTTTATTGTGAAGTTTTTACTTTATCATACTGATGCAAAAACATTAATTACTACTTTTTTTAATGTTATAGCTGCTTTTCATGTTGCTTAACTCCTAAAATCTTTATTTTTGAAATTCTAGTTATCAAGTTGATTTATTCGTTAACTTTAGCATACAAAACAATTAATTCCTTTTCTAACTATCTTCTCCTTCAAGAAGAAAAATAATTGTAAGTTGAACAATAATACAAATTTAAGCTTATTTTTTAATGTGTAATTAATAAACTGCTTACAAAGAATAAAACCAAAAGTTTATTTACTTAGGAATAATGATACAATTTGAATTGTTAAATATAATTACATTATATGTTAAGTTCCACAGGAATTAGTGCAACTTTGGTGGTTAATCTTAATGTAAATATAGGAGTTGTTCTTTAAATACCATATTTTGACTTGAATGGTTGAGAATTTTCTGTAGAATGTTTGGTCACACTTATCTTTTGCAATTTATTTTTCACAATTTTCTGAAATTTTCAGATTGCCTATTGGTTACACTGTTTCCCTGAACTTTACTTTCAAAAAATAAAGAAGGTATAGTATGACTTCTCTATAGTTTCTTATAATGTATTCATTTAACATTAAATATCATGGTATTCTTTACTAAAGGCCAAGCCATAGTGTAATTCTCCTCCACAACTGGAGACCTATCTCAAATCTTGTTGGGTTTGTGGTAGTTTGCTGCTGTATTCAGTTTAATTCAAAAAAATTTTTACTTTTACATTTGGAATAATTTTAACTTATTTGAAGTATAAGATTTTATTTCCTTTAGACTTGCTATATTATGTTTTTATTGCTAAACCTTTTTTTTTTTTGTGCAAAATTCACTAAAAAAAAAAAAAAGATGTAATTCAAGAAACTTGGTCTTGTGTTACTTAGAAGTTAATTTAACATTTTTCACTTAGTTAATTTAATATTCTATGAAATTTTTATTCATAAAAGCAAATACACTAATGATTTACTTTTGCATAATTTGCATTTCTGTTTTTGACCACTGAAAAAAATATGTTGACTTTTTTTACTATACTTCTCATACTGGAATGTAGCATTTTAATTTTACTTACTGTATTTGATGGCATATAAAACGCATTCCAATTTCAGCAAGGAAAATTTAAAAAAATTAGCAGTTAGTAAAATTATTAAAATTATTAGTAAATGATATAGCCTGGGCTATATTTATGAGGTATTATTTTGGTTAAACAAGCCATGATTACAATTAAATGAAAAAAAACACGAGCCTATAAAAACTTTATTATATCCAAAGGTAAGAAAACAAAATAAAAATCAAGCAATTATTACAATTGAGCAAAACAGTACAGTTACCATTTAAAAATTTTATTTTTCTTCAAATCTGTAAAATTTGTTGTCTTTGTTATCAGAACTCTGATTTTCAATACTACTATCACCGTTGTTAAATAATGCGTCATCTTCCATTCCATTGAGAGCATTGCTAATGCCACACTTTTTAAGATTTCACAACAGTTTCTGGTCTAATATTATCCCAAGCTTGCTTCACCTATTTGCAGACTTGTGCAATGCTGGATCTTTTTATTCTTCCTGTAAGTGTAAGGTTGTGATCAGGCCATTGCCATTCACGTGTTCCATTGCTCCTTCATGTTTAAGTCCTAAGCTAATAGGAGTTGCTAGGTAGTTAATTTTGGCTGACTATCACAAATTTTAAACCCACATATGGCATATAAGATGTAGGAGAATTAAAAATATTTTTAGTAAAAAAAAAAATATGCCTTATATGCCATCAAATACGGTAATTTAAAGAAATAATTTATTAATCCGGTTTCATTTTTTTTTTTTTTTTTTTAATCTTATTACAAATGTTACTTGTTTCCGGAAGTCTCTTCTGTCATCTTGCTTTCCAGTCAACTTTGATCTTCAAAAATTTAAATGCAATATCAATTCATTTAATTTTTAACACTTTTCCTTTTTCTTCAATTGTGTTTTTCTTTCTAAAAGTATGTTGAATTTTAGTTTAGTTTATCATAAAAAAAACATAAAATATGATTTTTTTTTTTTTTTTTTTCTTTTACAAAATTAATGAAAAATCATTTAAGAACATCAATAAATTTAATCTGATATTTATAGATCTTGTAAATGAGGTGTAGAAAATTGTCAATTCTTTTATCATAAAAAGTATATTTATAACAAAATAAGTCAACATAACAATAGTTACATTATTTCTAAACAATAAAATAAAAAAGTTACTTTCATGTTTAGTTTATTTTATTTCACGTTATATTTTTGTTCTAGAATCTAATTTTTTTTTTTTTTTTTTTTTAAACTGTAAAGATTAAAATGCTTATAAAATTTCATACACCCTTTTCAACTAGGTAGGAAGTGATGGATCCAAAGCTCTACCAAATTATATATTTGTTATATACCGTACATATGAACACTAATGGGTATGTCCCAATCCTCATAAATATGTTGGACACTATTGTAAGTTGGAGATAATATGCTAAGTAGTCTACCTACTTTGCACCACTGGCAAGTATTGTATTTTGTTGATGTTATAAAGATTACCATTTCACTTCCAACCTCCGTTTTCGTTATTCCTCATTCAGTAACATTTTCTACATTACAACAATATTGTAATAAAGCCTTAGTAAATACAAACTATCCCAAGATAAAGAGAATTAACTTTTTGAGCTAAATTAATTATGCTCTTAATCTTTACTTTTTTCTTTGAATTTCTTAAGCTGTTTATATTAGCCAGCTATTGCAAACCAAGACTAAAAAGCTTTGCTCCCAGTGGAAAAAGATTTAGGATAGGCCTTCAGTTTTGGGCAAGAGATGCATTGTGACTTTGCCTTTAGTAAAGAACACATGATATATATATGAAATTCTACTTTCAGAAATTGATCTTTAGATGCAATAACTGTGTATTACTACTAATGTATTAATATATAGTGGTAGTTTATAAAAAAAACTCGAGCAATTAAATTTTTTTATGGATGTGTTTAAAGATTTGCTTGATTTGTATATTCATAAAAGGGATTACTTATTGTACATCTATAATTTTGAATAGCTATTGATAAATACTGGTCTTTCTTTTTGTCTGTATAACATAGTTTATTACCTGCAGCTTTTTGTTTGTATAAAGTTACTAGTATTTTCTTACATATGAATGTAAATTGTTTTTTCTCTAAAAGATTTCTTTTTATTTCAGGAGGAAATTCCGGCCAGAGTTCTCTACACATCATTGTACCTCACAACTATCATAACTGCATACTTACTGAAGTATGTATACTTTTAATTAGTTATTATTCACTATCATTGAGAGAGAAGGGCTGGGAAGTTAAGGTACAATACTGAAATTTTCCCTAGCCTCTTATTTATTTAATGAAAGAACAAATAAATTAAAACTTTTGGAACAAGTGACAACAAAACTGCATTGAATATTTCCAGTTACAGGCTTATTTTAAGTCAGTTGAGATTGAAGTAGTCAGTTCTGATGCTGCCCATTCATGTTTCCAGCCATGCATTGTGATTTTGAGATGGGCAGAGTTAGTTGGAGGAAAAGTTAAAGGGTATCTGTTAGTCTAACATGGTAGAAGTAGTTCTAGGTCACTTACTTGACCACCCAGACCAAGCAAATTAAACTCCATATAAACTCCTAAATAATATTTAATACAGGATTTGAGTCCTCATTTTGTGCCATGGTATTTATTTTCACCTTTTCTTTCCATGTGAGCTTGCAATGGGCACTTCCTAGTTTTTGGTGCATACTGACATAAATGAGGTGGAAGCTGCAATATGGAGTAGTTATTAGCTGAGCAGGAAGTGGGGGAAGCCGGGTGAGGGCCCCATTGTATGTTTATATACTAATCATGTATCAGTCGCCATTATATGTTGGTTCCAATCAAGAATGACTGTTAAAGATTTATAGACAAATCCTACAGATGCATGTTGTGATTTCTTCATAACCAATAAAAATGGACAATTCTCATTATTATCCACACATTTTTCTTTTCTTTTCTTTCTTGCCTTGAAGTTATAAGACTACAAACCACTCCCGTTTTGGTATGAACAGTGTTTTTTACTGTTTTATAGTTTCTTTACTTTGCATTGCCTTGTCTTATTTTGTCTTTTTATTGTTATTTAGAATTTTGTTAATTCTGCTTAAAAATACCTGCTTATTCAACATTATATACCAACTTGAATTCAAATATAAAATGCAAAACAAATACTGAAACAAGTCTAACTGAATAATCGATGATTTTAATGTATTTAAAATTTTAATTAAAAAAATAAATGAAGCAGTACAAATATTGAGCAGAAAATTTCATATTGAACAACAATGCTCATTTTTAACTTTTCAGTATGTTTTGAAAAAGATGTAAATTTTCAATATAATCACTAGTTCATATATATTTAAAAGAAAGTTTGAATGTTAAACAAATAAAAGTAGGCTGTAGTGCATCTGTATAAGCATTGTATAATGTGTTTACTGCTAATAAGAAATTTTGCATAGACAACATCAAGAAAAAATACTCTATATAATAGTGATGACATAATATTATTAATTAAAATTTAGTTAATGTTAAGATTGATTAGAGTATTGGAATTGAGAGCTAGAAAATTAGTGGTGTATAATTTATTTGAGCTTGGTTTTAAGGATTGGTTAGTTAAAAAAAAATTGTAACCACAAAGGAACTTTGGTATGGAGTAATGGTTAGTAAGCTAACTTAGTTGACCATTACTACTGAGTAGCAAGTTCTATCGTTACTGGGTGACCTATACTTGTGTCCAAGACTAAGCTTAATAAATAACAACTATTGAAACAACTTTATTGTTTAAGAGGTACTAGTTAATGTTTATTCTTTATTTGCAAACTTTTTGATATTGTCTTTTGTTTTTCTTATAACAATAAACTGTTTGATTTAAAATCACCTATTACTTAAAAAATATAGCCCCCTCCACTTGTTTTTTTCCATATCTCTTTGCTCTAAAAAAAAAATGTTAGTTTTTCTTTTAATTTCTTTTCAGCTTTACTAGAGTTGCATTGTGTATGTTGGTCCTCCATTATACAGTAGATTTTGTGTTCCATTTTGCTCGATCCATGCACTTTGGTGAAAAACAGAAATTTGCATCGAATGTGTGAGTAAAGTAAATATTTATATCTAAAATGTATGTAACTGACATGATTGATTTTTAGTTCTTTTGTGTTTGTATTAGGAAATGCATGGTTAAAGAATTAAACAGTAAACTAATTGTAATCTTTTATCTGAATTTATCTTCAGAAATTAAAATTCTAAAAATTCACTTTAACAAAGACATGAAAAGTTGATATTTTATTTTTACTTTTTAATACTTTAACATTCTGCATGCTTGAGCACTTTGATAATTTTGGGCCCAATCAAGATACCTTTAAAAAAAAAGTTTGGTCATCTGGTTAGATTTTGGAAAGTGAAACTGGCTGAAAGCTTTTCAGCACCTCCTTTGTAGATACAAAATAACTGACACATTTTTTTGTCATAATACATCTGAAAGCGCAGTTAAATTATTTTCTAATTTTTCTTAGACCACTTTTTGAACTTAGAGATCTTAAAGAATATATTCTGAATTTTTAAAAAAAAATTATTTATTTTTGTTTTTCAGTTTCATGGTGTGGAATGTGTTATTTGTAATAGTTCGCTTCACTATAATCACATTGGCATTTTTAACATTCTGGTAAGTAAATACTCCTATAAACTTGATTTTATTTTAATATTTCCTATTAAAGTTTTCATGTTCATGAGGCAATTTAAAGTTTTGCCACCTGTGTTAAATTTACCAAAAATTCTTTTTCCTAATTGCATTTTTGGGCAAACCATTTATTGGTTATTTGAATTATCATTCTATATTAGGTGTCATTAACTTTTTCCATACTTGCTTATAGGTGAAATTGTGTAGCTTTTAATGATTGATGTAAAAGTATAAGCTAATTAATTGAAAGATTTAGAATCTTATTTAAAAAATAGTGATAGTATGGGCACCCTACATAGAAAGGGAAGAAGTGGTTTTTATCTCAATCACAAGTATTTGCTTGATAAACTAGTGGATGGTTCCTTTTTGAAGTTATCTAAGTGGTATCCACTTTAACTGAAGGTGGATGAGGGATTTTTGGAGATCAAGTGGCACCAAAACCAATCTGGTATATCCAGGTGTGGGTCTATATTAAGTAATGTCTAGGATCAAAGAGTTCTGGCCTGCTTTTGGCAAGAGATGAACATGCTCATTTGAGTGGTTCTGAAGCCGTCATTTGTATTGTCAGCCACCATGTTGGAATGAGTAGATGAGTAAGGAGTTGGTAGGGGGAAGAACTGACATACTACTCTTATTATATGATCATTTAATGAGCAAATTATAAAAAAATGACTAATCAGGTGACAAGACTTCAAAAAGAATTGTCAGCATAGTCCAGGCCAGTTAGGTCATAGTCTCTGAGCTGAACACCAGGGAAGCAATTGCACACTGCATCCATGATGTGGACAATGATTCATTTAAATAAATCAGGGCTGGTTACACAATCCTGGCAGCTACACAACCTTGGCAGACTGGTTGAAATTTTAGGGAGACATGGGGAAAGAGAGCCTAGATAATTTAAACACTCACAGGCTATTGAAATAAAAAGAAACAAGAAATGGCATCAAGAGAGGAAACGGCACCAAGTAACCTACTTTTTTCTTTTGTTTTTTGTTAAATAATTTCACCCCAAGTAAGGCTATAAAGCCACTAAGATCCAAGGGGTTACTGAGTGTGATAGAATATTAGGGGAAAAAAACACTATTACAGAGAGAGAACAATAAAAACAAAGAAGGAATTAAGACAGCAGAAGTCTTTAAATTGCATTTAAAGTTTTGAAGATGAAAGTTGACTGGAAAGCAAGAAGTTGGAAGAGAGTTCCACAAGAAGAGTGAAATAAACTCTTAGCATAGAACTTACAGTTGCATCTAGCCATTTCAACTCCAAAATGATTAGATCTTGCCACCAATCTCATACTGCTTAAACTCATGAAGTCTAGGTATCATAGAGGAAAATTCATCAATTATCATGAAAGTATTGATAGAAAAGTCATGGGAAGTTACTTTACAGCAGTGGGAAAGTGATTGAAGCTGAAATGCCAGGTCATGACCAATAACATTGCAGATTCTTTGTATTTTATCAAGAATCTCTAAATGTATAGCAGGAGCACCAGACCAGATGTGGCAGCAATATTCAAAGCAATAGCAGACATAAATATTTAAGGTAGATTTTGGTGAGGAAAATTGTCTAGCATGACAGTGAACCAACTTTTCTAGCAACTGATTCAATATAATCTTGCCACTTCATGTCAACAGAAAACATTAGTCCGAGAAAGTGCAACATGTCACTTTCCTGGAGGTTAGCTTCAGCTGTGGTAATGGAAAGTAAAAAGAGAATTTCTCGGATTAAAAGAGAGCAGTTTTGTTTTGGAGACATTAAAATCAACAAGCTATTCCTTGCCCCAGTTGACAATATATTGTAGGTCATTATTTAGGACAGCTGCCAATTTGAACCAATCAGACTTAAGACAAGAATAAATAGTTGTCATCAGCATAGATACCAAGTTGAGAACTGATGATCTCAGGTAGTTTGTTTATGAAAATTAGGAACAATGTAGGTCTAAAGATAGATCTTTGAGGAACACCTGCATTAATGCAAAAAGATCTAGAGGAGTAGACATTTGAGACAACATTCATTTTGTAATTTGATAAGACTGAATCATTTCAAAAATTTGTCCAGAAACATCATAGCCTTTCAATTTGTGAAGACCAGTATGCTAAACATTGTCAAATGCCTTTGAGATGTGTCTTGAGCAACTGCCTGAGTTTCACTATTCTTATCTAAAGCTTGAATGACTCTTTCAGCAATAATTGTTAATACATCAGCAGTTGACCTAGAGAAGTGAAAGCCATATTGCTTATCTGACCTTCTAAGATGAGATGTTTAACCAATTGAAAGTTAATTAAAGCCTCTAGTACTTTGCCAAAAAGTAAAAGGTTAATAGTCTGATAGAAGGCTCAGACAGTTTGTCTGAGTTCTTAAAAACTGGAACTAGAGGAAAGGATTTCCAGCAAACAGGAATGCAAGAAGCATCAAGGAATTTATTGCAGAGTTTATGGAGAACAGTGATGAAGTTATGTGCATATCACTCAATAGAGACTTCGTTCTAAGTGGGAAGTCAAGTAAAGATATAACAGATGAGTCAAGAGTAGAATTTGAAAAGAATTTATGAGCAAAATATTCTGTTTTATTAGCAGATGTTAATACCTAAAATTGATTGAAGTGAGGAGGAATAAAAGACTTAACACATTATTAGAGCCACTAGTAGTTACATGAACCAAACTTGTTAGGGACTATACTGTGCCTCATTCTATCAGCAAACAAAGACTTAGCCTCTTTGAGGACACATTTACAATTTTTTCGAGCAGACACAAATAGGTTTTGTTGTGATTGGCACTATCATGCTGGTACACCCTGAAAAGGTTATTCCCGTGGGCTATAGCAGCTTAACAGGCTGGTGTGAAGCAAGAAGATTGTGGTTTCTCCTAATATTTCCAACAAGGTACAAAAGCATCAATGCCAGCTTTAACCCAAGAAGAAACCTCTGTGACATAATTCTCAATAGGAAGGTTAAGAATATCAATCCAAGGGGTGTCTTGAATAAAGTCACAACTTTAGTCTGTATGACATTCTAAAGTATAATGTAGCTTTGAATACAATTATTATTATTATTTTTTTTTTTTTTTAACATTTAATGTAAAATAACTTTTTATGAGTTCAAATATAAATGTAGTATACTCGACAATAAAGATTTGATTCTTAAATATTTTTGTCAAAAATGTTTTAACTATATTCCAATCTTTTTTGTATTTAGGTATGGTTTGGAAAAGACGAGTCAGTCCTCAATAAACTTTGCTACTGGTAACTTTAATACCATGTTGGTCAGGTAAGTGCTGCTCAATTGTGCATGATTATTTAACAGTTTATATGAGCATGTGTATTATGGTTCAAGGTTTTGGTACTCAATTACTATAATTATTTATTTTCATGGATAACTGCAAGACCACAAGAATGTCCTAGGCAATATGAAGTTAACCTTTTGAGATCATCAAAGAATCCAGGGTAATGTTTAACATTTGTGCTTGCAAAAAAAAACAATGTGTCAAAAGGATGGTAATTCTCTTTTTACTGTATATAATTTTGACTCCCTTGGCAATGTTTGTTTTAAAAAGTGATGATTAGAGTTTTAATAAAACCCAAACATATGAAAGTAGATTTATGCACTTTCCTCATTCTTGAGACTTGATAACAAACTTATTAAACACTATTTATTTATCAGATTGCTTTTTTACAAAAATAATTTTATATTTTTTACAAGAGTATAAACAGATGTGGCAAAAGTAAATGGAAGAAATGCTTGGAAAAAAATTTTTTTTTCTCAAATATTATTACAGTTAATTAAATTTTCTTACAAATTTATGAATAAAAAAATTTCTTATATTTATTTCTTTATAAAAAGTTAAAAGAAATAAATATTTCATTATGGTTGATTCACATATTCCTGTAAATATAAAATTATTCTTGTAAATAAGCAAACTAATAAATAGTGTTTAATATCTTTGTTGTCAATTCTCAAGTATAAAGAAAATGTATAAATCCACTTTCATATGTCTGGTTTGAAGATTTTCTCAGTGTGCTCAGGCACACTAATGCACCCTGAAAGGTAGTCATATATGCACAAAGTTAACAGAAGAGTAATTTATGAATTATTTTTAAAAAATCTTTATTTTTAAAGCACTAGATGCCAAGCACATGCCTTCCATGTCTCAATCAAATCTTTGTCATTTGATATTTTAAACTGGATGCTAAATTCCTTTATCTTTTAATGAGTAGATAATTATTCCTCCTCTGCCTTCCCCAAGGGATTTAAATTGGCCATTATTGGCCTCTCTAAATTCATAAATCTCTTTAAATGAAAATTGTACCACTAATCTCCTTTGGGAATTCCAAACCAAAAATAACAATTATTAAAGGTAATTTTCTTTGTGAAAGAACATCAAGCACAGATTTCACACAAGCGTATTTAAATACAATGTAATATCTTAAAATTAAATGCTTATTTCAGAAGACTTATTTATTTTCAAATTTCATGACTAAATTTTCCTTACTAAAATTTAAAGTGAGACCCCTCCCCCCCATCTTTAGTTATTCGACAAGTGTTCCCTGAAGTAAAAAAAAAAAAAAGCAAAAAGAGAAGGACTGGTGTATACAGTAATATCAGTGTCAAAGAAATAACCATCCTTTTAACACGCCGTTTTTTGTGGGCATGAAGGTTAAACATTACTGAATACAGTATGTCTTTTCTAACCAAATGAAGCAATTTTTAACAAAAATAGTGAGATATTGAGTGTATGAATTATGTATTTTGATGGCAAAATGAAGTTTAAAATTTGGCCTCCTACATTTATATCCACTGTTTTGGGTATCAAAATAGTTTTCTTCGGTAACCATCTTTCATGTGTATTTTTTTTTTTTTTTTTTTTTTTGAAATATGTGAAGACTTTTCCTGTATCTGAAATTTTCCCCCCTCACCAACATCACAAGTAATGCTGGATATACCGGCTTGTCTTTTCATTAAAACAAATTTTACCATTATTTAAGGTTCTTAATAGGATAAGACAATTTACAATATCTTGTCAAAAGAAAAAAAATAAACATTGTATTGTGATTTACTAAGCATACTTTAGACCAAAAGGTAAAAAAATTGAAGTAATCAGTATTATTCAAACTTCCTACTCAGTCGTAATTGATCTAGTAAATTGGCCTCCTACATTTGGACCTACCGTTTTGGGTATCAAAATAGTTTTCTTCGGTAACCATCTTTCATGTGTTTTTTTTTTTTTTTTTTTTTTTGGAAATATGCTAAGACTTTTCCTGTATTATATCTGAAATTTTTCCCCCTCACCAACATCACAAGTAATGCTGTAGCAAAGGAGTCGAATTCAACAGTGTAAGGGACGCAGCTCTTTCCGTCTAAAAATGTCCGGCATGCTGCACCGCAAAGCAATGTACACCAAACACGGGTGTAATACCCCTCTGCCAATTTCTCCAAGCGACCTGCTTTTATGGGGCCCAGACACACCTCATTAGCATGTGTGTAACGCGACTTTCTGTGACTGCACGAGACCGTGAATATTAAAAGTCCCGGACGCCATCTTGGATCTTTTCTTTCCTTTCTCACCCCACAGGCCAGACAGATGCGAGGCGTTTGGGAGGTAAACCATTTCTATTTTCCCCACACTCCTCCCCTGATCTCATGATCACAGAGTTGACAGGGAGGTGGTGATCACATTTTGCCGGGTGCTTCTTCGAAGAGGGACGAAAGAGCTCATCGTTGTTTGTGCTCCTGTCCGAGGTCTGAGGGTGGAAAACACCGCGTCCCTTGAAGGCTACTGATATCTGAGTCACTGCCTGATGGAGCTGGCGTGAACCAGAGCGATGCCTCACTGATTTCAGATTCGATTCGCTCTCATCGTCCAGCAGTCGACGACGCATATTAACGTGAAAGGGCACACCGTCGACCCGGAGTATGCCTGTGGGCTGATCACCTCACATCGCGTCGATTCCGTGAATTGGTGCATTTGAATGAAAGGGTTTTTAATCTTGAGAACATCGCCTTTCTTCAGCCTCTGAAGAGGTTACTTTCAAACTATGGTCAGCGGATTGGTTTCTATGCCCTTCACTCTAACGTGGTACCTATGCAATGTGTCTGCTGGCGCCGTAGAGGGTGAGACATCATCCTTCGGGGTCAGTTTGTATCGTGGACCGCCTCAGATCCGCGCAGCCCGTCCTGGCTGCGATGGTATTGACGGGTCTGTGGTTCCGCTCGATGATTCCATTTCCAATGGTACGTGGGCGCACCGGAACCGTGGTGCACTCCCCAGCCATCCGCAAACTTCCCGAACTGCTCGCTGGTGAATGCGGTGCCATTGTCAGTTAATATCTCCGTTGGGGGGCCACGTTCAAGAAAGATGCTGTTTAACTGACGGATGATAGTGGCTGCATCTTGCCGACGCAGCAGCCGCCATATCGAAACCTGGATGGACTGCAATCAATGAGCGTCAGAAAATGCTCGCCGTTGTGGTGAGTAACATCTATCGCCAGCCGGCTCCAGTGGTTCCTCACGCTCAGCTGCCCTTTCTTCCAGCGAACGGGTGCTGGGTCTATAGACTGCACGCCACGCAGTTTCTGACCACTCTCCTGACGTCTGTCTTTTGTACTCCTGGGTCAACCAACTTGGCGAAATACAGTGTCGCTTGACTCCAGGGTGCCCGCTTTGTTGGTGGACTTCTTTGATTCGATTAAATCGAGCGGGGACTCACGGATGCAGTGCAGGCTGGTTGCACGGGCTCAATAGCTTTCTTAGCGGCGTCAAGCCATCTTTGGGGCACCCTCATTAAACAATCTGCCTTGTTGAGGCTAGATTTGACCAGGGACACCTTCATTGTCAGTGAGCTGGTGCACTAAATTTACGTCCGTCGAGCCTCTGGCCCTCGGTGGTGGCTTTATCCGAGATCCACTTATAAATGTATTTATAAAAAGCGGAATCAGTGAACAGACACAGGGTGGTCGACTTCCAGATGATCGCCAAGTTGATCCCCTTGATGACAGCATCGAGCTCCGCTAGGTTTGTGCTGGGAGTCCTTTCTGGACGTAACCAGCAAGCATCTTCCACGTGAAGCTCCATTGCCGGAACTATCGAGCTTCGTCAACCCATTGCAAGAGGCTGTCAACGCACCATCTGCCTGCCACACCTTGGTCCACCTAGCGACAGGAAGGTGCGTCCAACGTCAATCCAGTGGTGCTGCACAAGGAAAATATGCGCAACACGCAGCCAGCCACCTACAGGATGGTGACAAGGGGGGGCATGTCTGGGAGGGCATGTCTGGGAGTTCCCATTTCCAATACAGAACGTCATCTTCTCCCCAGACCTGCAAACCAAGCACCCGTGCACCATCCTGTAGTCTCTCTGGTTCCTTGCTGAGGAGGCCAAAGTTGTAGAGATGCTCCTTCACGCGCGCCACAGATATGACTCCCTCGTTCATGTACACGTCATCAATATATGCAGATGTTGCCCACTGTATGCGCTCATCCTTCGTCAGAATGGCGTCAACAATCATCTGCATAATCGATGGCGCCACATTGAGTCCAAACCCCATGCGGGTCAGGCAATACCTTTGCCTCTTGATAAGCACAGTTTGATAGGGCCACAGTGATTGGTGCACACACACTTGAAGGTATGCCTTGCGAAGATCCAGCACAGATACATTTGATCCCGCTTGTTGCCATTCCCTTAGCTTCTCGGTACACACGTCCACGCGGGCTGTAAAAGGTCCATGTGCTTGTTCAGTTCCCGATAGTCGAGCACCGGCCTTATCTTTTGTTTGCTGTGCTGGAGAACCGCCATTAGCGGGATCAGGCCCTTCGGGGGCCCCAATTCCTTCTCTGGACAAGGAACCAACCATCCATTATTAATCCAGGCTCGCAACTCCTTGTCGTACTCCGCATGAGCTCGCAGGGGGATTTTATACTCCGGCACACTGTTGTACAGCTTCTCTGGCGGTTGATCGTCCGACCATTTCCAGGATACTGTCCAGGACTTTGTGCACTGGTCGAACTCCGCACAAAAGTCAGGCCGTTCCAGCTCCATTGCTGCACCTTGAGCAAGACCTGTTTCAGTGAAACGTGCCCGACAATCTTCGTCAACATGAACGCCACCCAATTTTTTGATGACGTCCATTCCCAGGAGCAGATCATAGCCAAGCAGCCCTCCGTCCACGACCAGGGCTTGTACAGCTACTAGCAGGCCCATCGCCGATGCTTGCGCGGAACAGTCAGGAGCCCCGCCAAATATTTTTTCGTCCCGTGTCACAACATGCCTTGGGTCTGGGTGCACCCGGTGTCAACAAGCGCAAAGCGCTCACGCCGTTAATCCTGACGCTCACTGCGGGTAGCGCTTTGTTCAGCGGCGATCTGGGAGAAGACTGGCGCTGTAACCTCCCTTGCCCGTTTCCCAGACAGCTTCTTGCTACGTGGCCCAGCTTGTCGCACCTGTAGCAACGCATACGTCTCCGTGTTCCTCGGTTATGCGTATCCTTCACACCGCTTCGGCGGTCTTTGGAGAAGTGGTTCAGTTCGCCACATTTATAGCACCTTATGTCCTCAGTTGGCGGTGCGGGTTTCTTCCACAGCTGCTGAGACCAGCTCCATGTCGTCCTTTAGGATATTCTGGGCTCTGGCCAGTAACTCGTCTAGCCCCAGCTCATTGAGCCTTGACGATACTCGTAGCAGTCGACTGGCATTGTCTGGGAGTCCTGCCAGAAAGGCACATCCTAGGATTTGGTCGCTTGCTCCACCAAACGGTGCTTCCTCAAATCGGCCAGAAAGACATCTACCGTTTCATCTGGCCCAAGCCGCCGTTCGGTGAACTACCTCCAGGCAACAAAGGGGTCCGCACCGAATGCTGCGTATAGGACCTGTTTTATTTCCTCCAAGTCTGCATCATCCCTGAGCTGCTGATACACAGCGTAAGCTCCTTTGGTGAGCCTAAGAGGGATGACCAGTGCGGGATCTTTAATTTTACACAGCCGGCAGACCCGCTCGGCCTTTTCCCACCACTCGACCACAGACGGGCCAGTGGGGGGGGGGGTCGAACTCTGGTATCAACTTCAAGTCGAATCTGTCCATGTTGTAATAATTGTTGAAGTAGCTTGTAGCAAAGGAGTCGAATTTAACAGTGTAAGGTACGCAACTCTTTCTGTCTGAAAATGTCCGGCACGCTGCACCGCAAAGCAATGTACACTAAACACGGGTGTAATACCCCTCTGCCAATTTCTCCAAGCGACCTGCTTTTATGGGGCCCAGACACACCTCATTAGCATGTGTGTAACGTGACTTTGTGTGACTGCACGAGACCGTGAATATTAAAAGTCCCAGACGCCATCTTGGATCTTTTCTTTCCTTTCTCAACCCACAGGCCAGACAGACGCGAGGGCGTTTGGGAGGTAAACCATTTCTATTTTCCCCACAGGTATCAAAATAGTTTTCTTCGGTAACCATCTTTCATGTGTAAATTTTTTTTTTTGGAAATATGCTAAGACTTTTCCTGTATTATATCTGAAATTTTCCCCCCTCACCAACATCACAAGTAATGCTGGATATACCTGCTTGTCTTTTCATTAAAACAAATTTTACCATTATTTAAGGTTCTTAATAGAATAAGACAATTTACAATATCTTGTCAAAAGAAAAAAATAAACATTGTATAGTGATTTACTAAGCATACTTTAGACCAAAAGGTAAAAAAATTGGAGCAACCAGTATTATTCAAACTTCCTACTCAGTCGTAATTGATCTAGCAAGACAAGCTTGCTAACTATTACATCATACCAAAGTGCCCAATTAGCATTGTATAGAATGGTTTTGGATTCAGTAATGCATAGATTTTGTATTCAATAGTATGTTATTCTCAAGATATAAAACTTATTACTAAAATACGAACTTTGCAATTTGTCTTGTTTTCTAGAATGGAAATAGAATAAGAAAGGTCATCTGTACATGACTATATTAATTCAAATGTCTTCATCCTGTACCAAAGGATTACTTATTTTCAAAAAATTTTTTCACATTTTTATTTTCTAGGATTATTTGTCTCAGTGGAGTGTGCTTACTCCAAGGATGGATGATGTGGAAGTTCATCAACTTCCACATAGTACGCATACGAGAAAGAGATGTAACTGCTTCTTACAGGAAATCTATGTCTCCCAAGAAGAAGCAAGCCAAAATCAGAGGTAAACTAACAATTTTTTTTCCTGAACTTTGATACAGAGATAGCATAGCTTTTTATAATTTTTAAATTAAAAAAAAAAAATCATAATTAACTGTTCATTTCAATTAATGTTTTCTTGATATGCAAATGAAGGACTCAGTTATTTCAAAAATAAATGGTCTGAAATTCAAATGATCTTTTATTGGTAACAATAGATCACTGGAAAAACCTTCTTGCCTTTTAACTGAAATTTTGAATGTAAAGCATTTAAATTATTTTAGTTTTCTTCTAATATAACTTATAATATAAAATTAATTTTTAAAATTTTTTTTTCAAAGTCCACTTGTATTTTGAGCTTCATATCAGGAAGTATGACAATAGGATGAAATATATAGGAAATAAAAATAAATAGGAAGCAGTGTCAGACACAGCTGTTTAAAACCCTTGTTTTTGTCATATAGGAAAATCCAACATGGCGCGTAAACGAAATATGCGGCAAAAAATCTCATTCGTCAGTAACATTTTAAACACCTCATAGAATGTAAAGTTCTTAAAGAAAACCTATGTCAAAGTGTTTTCCTGAATCCTTGATGACTTGGCTGTCCGAAAATGATAATATCAAGATGAAATAATGGAAACTGACCGTGAAAAATACAATTATGCGTAACAGGTTTTCGATCAATTAGTAAACTTCTGGACCTTTTAGGCGACCTTATAGGATCCAGACGGCTATTTTTGCACATGGAATTATTCACTGGTAATTAATCTTCGATTTGGCTGTGGAAAATGTCACTCGGCGTTGGTTAGCATTAAGAAATTATGCACAATTTTCTGAGAAAAATCCCTTTTTTAATGAAAAAATATTCATTTAAACTTCAAAATAACATCATTCAAAATTCATTCCTTTCTCTTTCATTTGGCATGAACATCATTGAATAAAAAGAAAGGCTAAATGGACCGGCGATGGGAAATACAAAAGATATGCGAAAAAAAAAAAACAATGTTGTCTGCTAAGTGTTGTTGTCATCACCGGGTCACGGGGTGTTAAAAACAAAACAAAACTTATCAAGCCATTGTTCAAACATAGGTTATATGAAGCCCTAGTAATTGTGAACCTTTTTTTATTCACCCTTTGCTTTTATCTGGGAGTGGTGGGTTTTATTACAACTTGTTCTAAGGTTTGCCGTCCGTTTATTGCTAGCTGGCTGGCTGGCTGGCCTTTGATTTGACCTTTAAAAAGTCAATTAGGTTTATTTTTTATCACTATTTTTTAGGAAAAAAAAAAAAAAACTTTTGGTTTCTGGTGGTTAGGAATTGCAGATAAATCTCTTGCCTTTTACTAAAGATTTCCGTGGCCAGGTGTCAATTTTTTTAACCCTTGGCAGTCATAATTGAAAATTAACAATGGATTTTGTCGCATTTTTTGAACCCCTAGGAATGTTGATTTCCTTCAAAACTCTCAATTTTATGCCTGAAATAGTTTGATTATGATCTAGGCTTTCTGATTTTCAAAAAAAAAAAAAAAAATGGTTAATTTCCCATTAATGGGGGAAATATTTGTTTAGAACAAGAAAAAAATGCAAAATTTTCACTATTTTTTCACATTTTACCCACTGAAAAAATTTTTGAGTCATTTACACCAGCTAATTTTACTTTTAAATGAAAGAATATATCTTTTGCTTTCAGAAAATACCTAGTTTCATGGGGTTCAGATCAAAAGTTTCCTTGATATTCGTTTAGGTGATGATAAAACAGTCATTTTTCAATATTTTACCCCTAAAAAGTATGAAAACCCATATTTTGAGAGAAAATAAGCTGTGACAAAATGACTTTTTGCTATTTTGTGATGATTTTCACTTGGGAAAGAAAATTTTTACCATAGGAAACCTGAATTGACTTTATTTAAGTTCAGTGGGTCTGTAGGAAGCCTCAAACAGCTGTGCAGATAAACTGAAGAATGCATTTATTATTTTTTTTATTTAATTACTTTAAAAAATTTCTATTTATCTTACAGATTCTAATGCTGATTTTAACCACCACAACAGTGCTACTGAAAATGGTTCCGTACGTTCTCGAGGAAGAGGCTTTTTTAACATCCAGTCCAATCTAGTTGTTCAATGTTTCATTACATCATTCTGTCTAGTATCAGTCTGTCTGTTCATCTTGTCTTTTTCATTACTTTTTTATTGGATCTGCTGCAGTATCTCTCTCTCTCTCTCTCTCTCTCTCCCCCTCCTCCTTCTTGCCTCCTCCTCCCATTTCCCTCCCCCTCTCCCTCCTGTACAAATTTTCTTCTCCTTTCCAATTTTCTGTATTTGTTGGCCTACACAGACCACACTTTCTAATGCACTGTTTGGATTTTTTTCCTTTAAAAAAATAATATATATATATATATATATATATATATATATATATATATATATATATATATATATATAATAAAAATATATATTTAATGATATTTCTTAAAAAATAAACAAATACAAAATTTTCTTTTTAATATTGAACTTAAAATCAAAGATTCAAATATATAAAATGAACCACTTCCCAATAAACCAATCTTATTTTGCATACGTTTTTATTGCTGACAGTAACTGAAAAGAATTTAAGATTGCTTATATGATTGTGTGTTTATATGAAATGAACATATGTTCATTGGAATGTCTTAGATTCTATTTTTATAACCTGTATTTACTCAAATTAGTTTAGATTTTTCTCCATTTTTTTTTTTTTTTTTTTTTTTTTTTTTTCAGGTGTAACAGAAGCTACATGGTCTCAAATTGTTCAAACACTCCCAAAATAATGTATCCCTTCCCCCCGTTGTTTTTAATTGGTGCTTAGGGTTATGAAATGGTATTCTGAAAATTAAATAACCTCCTTTTAACCCTAATTATCAAGTGTTACATATCCATAAGTTTTTTTTTTTAATCCATATCATAAAACAATATACTCGAGATCTCAGCATTTGTTATTTGAATAACTGCACAATAAGTCTGTCTAACCAGAAATAAAACATAAGGCTGCTTATAATATACAGGGTGCAACAGAAGTACCTCCCAAATAATGGTAAGACATTAGTGGCAATGGTGTTTTTTATCTAGCTAATGCCTTACCATTATGGGGGAGCTGTTTTTGCTAAATCCTGTATTAAATTTTCATAATTTCAAAATAAATTCTGCTCTGCTCCTCCCAATTCATAAGTGTAGGCTTGCCATAATTTCCAAGCCTCAAACTGGGACAATTTACATTTTTTTTTTTTTTTTTTTTTATTTTATAGGTTCTTGTATAATAGTCTTTTCATGGCCCTTTTAAGCTTCAGAGCTCACAATCTCTCTCACACACATACACAGTTGATAGCTTATGTCTCTTGCTGGGCCATCTCTAAATGGGGCTTTTGGATTGGACAGGACAGATGTATGGTAAGCCTAATTAAATGTACTAGTAACTACCATGTGGCTAATGTTACACTTGACTGTTTTAAATTTAAATTTTTTTTATAATTCTAAAATAGATTTCTTATTCTTTTCTTATATAAATAAATCTAAAAATGCAGCATATAATTATTTTTTTAAATGCCATGTCATTAGTTTTTGTGATAATGTAAAAAAAATTCTTAAGAAAAAAACAAACAAATTAAGGACATTTGCCTCCTTTGTGCATTTAAAACTATCTGAAATTTCAGAGCACATAAGTGAATGAATTTGTCCATTCAAATATCACTTTCTGACCAAAGTTTATTAGAAAAAAAAATTGTTCAATAAAAACTTTTCAAACAAAAAATAAATTCATGAATTATTTGGGTTTTATCTGAATTTCAAAACAATAATAAATAATTTAATAATTCACAATATTTTGGCTTTTATAATTCATTTTTTTTATCTATTGTTTTTACTGCATATGCTGCAACATGTTTTAAAAATGTCAAAGTGAAAAAAAAATATATGTAGGATGTTATGATGTACTCTTCAGTTCATAGAAAGACCAACATTAAAAATCTTTGTATGGAATTTGGGAAGAGCAAAAATTTATTTTGTCTATCTAATTCTGAGCTAAGAATAAGAATTTAATATTATATTTAATGGGTGGCTGGGATCATTAATGATATAAATTACTATCAAACAAGTTATTTTGATCAATGTACATTGTATTTTTCTTAGGTGAAAAAATTGCTGAAAATTAACTCTTGCTATTAGAACTAAAATAATTCAATGATTTATTCTCAAATTATACTATGTTTCAACAACTTTAAAAAAAAAAAAAAAAAAAAGTTTCTATCATGCTCCAAAATAACCTTCTTTTACAAATAAGGATTTCAGATATGTCTTCAAAATATTTCTTGCTCAATGCTTTTTTTGTACTGGAAATAATTTCTCTTTGATTGCTACAGTTATCTACTGAGCATAGCTTACTTTTGGCACAAGGACATGAGTATGGGCGCTTAGTGAGAATCAAACTCACTACTAATGATCTAAAAGTCCAGCTTGCTGACCTTTACATCACAATGTGGCATTCTTTGATTGCTACAGTTAAAAAGAATTATCAGTTATTATCATCTGAAAAATAAATAAAAACAAACATTACTGATCTGATTCAACATGCTGATTTGTCCTCCCCTACACACATACAATTGATAGTTTTTTTTTTTATTATTTTTTTAATGGGTCAGTTAACCTGATTTAAAAATGATTTCTAAATTTTGATAGCTTTATAAAAAAAAAAAAAATTTATATAAAGTTACTTCTAGCTGCTAGTAAACACATGTTGCAATCAAAATGATTTGTTACAGCAAAAGGTCATAAGTATCTTATCACAAAGCATTAGTAAATTTGATCTTCATCTTGCTTCATATTGCCTTATTTAATATTTGTGACAATTTATTTTTTGGCTGTAGAAATGTTTAGAATCTATTTTTCTTGTCTGTTTTGATTGCTGCTGACAGGTGTTTAAATGTACAAAGGGAATTATCTGTTTAAGTTATATAATGTGGGGAAGCAAAACTTGCAAAATTACTGTAACCTTTGAAATTCATTGTGCATAAACAGGCCATAAAATACAAAAAGGATATTTAAAAAAACTCAAAAATAAATAATTTATTTAATGTAGCTTTCATTATTTTCAATTATAGTCTTCACAAGCCCTTGGGTATCTTGACCCAGTTCGCCTTGATAGTATTGACATTAGGGTGTGAGGTCTTGGTGGCCTTCTCCAAAATGCCCTACACAGTATAGTCTAGTGAGCTCAGATCTGGACAGGAAGAAAAAAGTTTACAGAACTTCTGCACTTCTTGGTTGTTCAGAACATCATCCACTGTGAACTTTTTCTAACAGTGAACCATGATTCTTAAAAGTATTCAACCATATTTTTTTTTCTTTGTGCCCTTCCAACTTGCCGTCTTTTTTTTGGCATCCTAGTAAATGATTTATAGCCAGGTCATTGTGCATAGCTGTTTTGACCATGTTGGGGTTCACTTTTAACTTGGCAGCTATCTTTGGCATGGATTTTGTTGGGTCCTTTGCAGTTTTGGTTAATGAAATCTATATCTGCTTTTTGTTGACCCCCACAATTGCCCATGATTATGGTCGTTTACATTGTAGACAGTGTGCAAGAACACACAATTCAATTTTTGTATGAAGCAAGTTATATGCACTTTGATGTTTGTCTTTCTGTGTAGCTATTTTCCATATTCTTGAAAAATAGGTGTGTATTAATAGGTGATGGTATATGCTTTGTTTTTCATTTGGTGTAGTGCTTGGTGGGAAATTTTAGTTTAAATTTTACTGCAAGTTTTGCTTCCCCACCCTGTAGATTTTTAAAAAAAAAATGCTCTTAAGTTTTAAAAAATATTCTCATAAGGCATGATAAAAAAAAAAGAAACCCTACCTCCTTAATAAAATGACATTTAAACCAAAGAAATCTTAAGTCAGGTATTAACTTTCAACTTACAGAACAGATTCTAATTTTTCTTTTAACTTTAAATTTTAATTCTCCAGTCTTAACAAGTCAGTTCCTGAGAGAGACAGGATATTCACTTTTATTTTTTCCCCCTTTAGATAAGTGAATCTCTGTCACAAGTGCTGAAATAAAGTCTTTTCTGTATGTCCATTCTCCTGGGATTGAAAAAAAATACACACAAAAAACTATATATTTACTGTAGGAAAACATTCAATAGAATCTAACAGATTTCAAGGGGCAATTCAAAATACAAATACACAGGGTCTGAAAAGTAACTCTATATTTTTTTTATTTATTTTTTATAAGTTTTATATGATTTAAATTTAACACAAGATTATATATGAGATTTGACAATTAAAATTTCAATAAGGAGTTACTTTTTCAAATACCTTGTCTATATTATCCTCTGTCTCACTTTTTTTTTTTTTTTTTTTTTTTTTAAATAAAAGGCTTACTTCAAATTACCCTTACCCACTCCATTCCCGCATTCCAAACTAACCCACCTCTTAACCTTTCCCAGCCCCAAACTTCTTATTCTTCCTCCTCTGAATAAAAATTAACAAAAAAGAAAAAATGGTCAAGAAATGTAAAATCCTATTGAATGTTTGTCCTCCATCATGTTTTCTGGTCTTGGTGCTCTTGTTAATGTTACTAATTGTTACTTACTCTAGAATTTTCTTAAGCCCTTCTCTCCACCCATAAATATTTCTTCTGTTAAAATGTTTTTTTTTTATTTTTTATTTTTTTTTAAATAAATCTCTTCTATAGACAAGGGCTTTACCCTTGTTTGTGTAAGACCATGTTGACATGATGTACAACTACTAAAATCAAATAAATTCACATTTAAATAATCTTATGCCTTCGATTTTTTTTTTTTTTTTTTTCTCATGAAATAAATTAATTTTTCTTTCCTGATTCACACTGAAAATTAAAACTTAAAATATTAACATTTGGCTGAAAAGTTATTCTACTCTCTATATATATATATATATATATATATATATATATATTTGGTGTCTAAATCAAGAATCAGCTTGTGTATAAGCTTTTAATTCAACACTTCTAACTGAAGTGACTGAAATTTTTGGATGAATACCACAGCCTTATGAACAAAAAAAAATTGTACAAGCTGTAGCCTAAAACAAAACAAAAAAAAAAAACAACTTTCCGCCAAACTAGAGTTTGGTCATATAGTTGACAGACTAGTTAAAATAAAACACATTTAGAGAGAAAGTGAGTATTATTTTTTTTTTTTTTTTTTTTACAATGAAGTTAAGCATGTTGACTGAATAGGGCTTATTTCACTTTGGCAAAGAAATAAGATACTCAGATTAGGTTAAATATTTTTGTTATAACTTAGACACTTTAGTTTTAATGATTTTTTTTTTTTTTTTTTTTTTTTTCTGAATATTCTAACAATTATTTGAACATTGCATTTGCTAAAATCTTTGGATAATATTACTTTCCTAGAGAACATTTTGTAATATATAGATATACACACACACACACACACACTGCTGGCCACAATCTTAAGGTCAGTAAAAATAAAGAAAAAATAAATCTTTTGCACTGTTAGATTTGACCACTTATTTGAGTAGCACTTCAAAAAAGGAAAAATTAAAAACTTTTTAGCATTTAATAGGGAAAGTTTGAATACTGAGAAATTAGGCTAAATACTGGCTGGCCAAAAGTTTAAGCCCATACCTAAAAGAAGTCTTAAAAAGAGGAAATGCTCAACAAGATCTCTCAGTAGTGAGTTTGGATATCTGTTGTGAATAACTTCAAAAATTTGCTTTGGCATGGTCAGTATAAGCATCTGCAGAAAGCTGGATGGAATGTTATTGTTATTTCAAGTGGTGAAGATGGCTTCACGAAGAGTATGGACATGTACTGACATTCATTTTTATAGACTTACCTTGCTATCCACCCCCATTTTAAATAGTCAGGTGTACATGCTGGATGGTCCAAAAGAATCGTTAAGCACCATGAAAAAAAATGTCCTTTTTACCTGCGGGCATTATGGATTGCAGTGTTATCCTGTTGAAAGACCTAGTCATTTTCACACAAGTGAGGGCTTTCAGTCAATAAAGATGCTGCTCTCTCCAACACCATGGCTTGATGCTCCTATACAACCTGAAGCTCAATTGTTTCTTGGAAGGAGATTACTATTACCTTTTTTACCATCAGTTATTTGTCTATATCAGTCAAGCTTGAGAAATTTACCAATCACCTTTTGATTTACATTAGTAAATTTTTTCTTCTCCCCACCCCAAATGAAATTGTTGTGTATTGTTAAATGCTTTTACATTGGATGTTCATCTATTGGCAACAATATTTTCTCCCATGATGTAAGTTATTTCACATACCTTTAAACTAGAGGAATCTTTTCTCTTTACATTCTTATGTGCTTATTTATGACTGCTAATAATTCTCTACAGCCACATCTGATTGAACATATGCCTGCAACAGCACGCTTTAAGATCTACAAATGGAAGGGGGGAGTCTGCAAAAGTAGGTATACAGTAAATATACCATTATAATAGTGTTTCTAGGATTCATTAAAATTGTTTTTAATATCTTTATTTTCATCATAATACACTTATTTTTTTTAATAAATGATACTAAATGTTAGCCAGTAGAGAGGAGTGTGTGAATGATGAGGGAAAACAGTTTGAGGGATTTAGGTTTCTTATTAATACGTTTTGTATTTCATTAGTGTATACCTTTTTTAAAATGCAAAGGTCTTGAATAGTAATATAAATAAACCTTTGCCTTTAAGTTTTGTTTTCACTTTATCCATCTTAAAATAGATTTTCATGTGCTATCACAAAACAGATGTAAACTAACGAAGATACTTTATCACTTAAAATTTATTACCAGAATAAGCTTTTCAGTTTGGAACAGTGGGTGTTTTTTTTTTTCTGTTGGAGAAAATTATTTTTACACTTGACATTAAACAAGTACAAAGTTATTTTAAAAGATTTATTTCTTTGCACAGTACAAAATATCAATATTTCTATACATAAAATAAATTTTATGGCACTCAACAGTGACTTATGAAAAAATATATGGACTTTTGACTATATACAAAGCTTAATACATTTACATTTTTGCAAAAACTAAACTACAAAAAGGATTCCTCTCCTGAACTGCATCAGAAATGTTAATGCATGGTTATCTCAATGAAGCATATTTAAGATTGTAATAATTTTTTAAATCACAAAAATCAGTGTTAACTCAATAGAGTTAAAAGTTTGAGATAGGCAAACTCGAAATTATCAAGCCCAATTAGATGACACGATAAGATTTAGATTTTATTAGAAATTAAATTTATAACGCAAAATTAAGTTTCTGGGGAGTTTGAAATGCATTTTTTTTTGGAAATTTTTACTAATAAAACAAGAAAAAAAACATTAAAAATTAGTAGCAGGTATGAGAAAGTTCACATTGTCTTTAATGTGCTAAATAATAATAAAAAATAAAATAAAATGCAAGTATTGAAAATAATCCAAACTTCCAGTTGAGATTGGGATTTGTGTTCATGAAAAGTTTGTGTACAAAGTGCTCTCATACAAGTTGCCTTGTATCCTAAGATAAACTCAGTAATATATCAGATATAAGGTGGTGCTGAAAAGTCCTTGATTGGACTAATTTCAAAATAGATCTGATAAAATGTCAGGTTTTTTCCCCCCTCTAATCTATTGAAAAGCACTCTGTATAGAAAAAAATTAACAATCCCCACTTCAATTCTAAAAGTAAAGTGCTATGTAATTATTTAAGCATAATTAAATTTACCTTTGTCTTTCTTCGACCCAAACAACTCGTTATATCTTTTTAGCAAAGAAAAAAAAAAAAAAAAACAGGAAGTTACAAAAGAGATATGAAAATTTAATCAACAGCATTATTACAATAGTATTCAGAATTTTGTACTGAAATATGAAAACAAAAGAAAAAAATGTGTTAGTATCAACTGAAGGCACTGGAAGCCTATTATACATTTGTGTTTATAACATATCCTCCTCATACTGATTATTTTTACAAATGTATAAAAGTATCAATTACAATAGGCATATGTATATTATCCTTTCACTTGCAGATTTAATAGAGGATAACCAGGATTTTAAAAAATTACTACTTTAAAAAAAAAAAAAAAAAAAAAAATTTTCAGTTTTTAATTTTTTTTTTTTTTAATTTGTTAAATTATTCTACCCATAGCATTTCAAGAAAGTATAAGAGTTATACCAAATAAAATGAAAAATCTTTTCATTAGCGAAGAATCAATCAGTTTCAGACAGGATGAACTTCAATAAATGAAACAGTAAAACATTTTTAATTGCCACAATTCAAAATAAACATTAAGAATCTAAATTTATGAAAACTCGTTTTAATATTGAAAATGTGCTACGACACATGGAGATATGCTGAGTTTAAAACTAATTACATAAATGATCCCAAAAATATTCTCTCCTTGATTTAATAATTTTCAAATTAATATAGAAAAATAATTTATGAAAATTTAATTAAAATTTGTCATGGTTTCACTTAATGAATTTTTTAGAATGTGACAATACACTCCAATGTAAATTGCATATTTTCTCAAAACATTTATATAACCTATTGAACATGAAAATTTATCTCTCCAATTGTGAAATTAAAAGAGGCCTAATTGGTTTAGAACAATTGCAAGAACATTTCCTACAACTTCCTATATATTATGAATCCAATTGCAAATAAACAATGATTCTGATATTAGTAAAGCCAATACTGTGTATTCTACAAGTATGAAAATTACAATTTTCAGCTTCATAAATATATAGATAAAAATAAGCCTGCTATCTCAGTTAAATCACCACAAACCATATTACAAAATCTAGACATGTTAATGAAAACTGAAAAAAATAAAAATAATAATGAATAAAAAAACAGTTTTCAGTTGGTTTTGTAGAATTTTTTTATGGTAAACTGATAAAATCAAAACCTTTCAGCTCTTCTGTAATGCAGTTGTGAGATTTAGTATTTCTTGCTCATTATTTGATTGTATATTTTATATTCAATTTATACAAATGAATATCAATTGTCAATTTTTGCTCTCATAATATACATCTATAAAGATCAGTTTAAAGTTAAATTGACATCTTTTAAACAGAGATAACCATGGTTTTGTGTGTTCTGAGCAGATAGTAAAAAGTCACAAAAACAAGAATTTTTTTTCTTATGTGAAAAATTGATACATGGATTTAAAAAAATGTTTGTGTAATAAATGATACCCACATAACAGATACTATGTCACTTGAATATGAAAATGACCATTTAAGATTTTTATTTTTTCTTTCTTTTCTGTGTTTCTACAAAGGTTATTGAAATCTTAAAAAAATTAATTTTTAAAATTAAATATTTAAATCAAGATCTTGTCACAATGAGAGATTCAAACACCTAAAATCTCTTAAACAATGTATTAATACAACAAAATTATCACAAAATCTTTCCATCCAATACACACATCAGTAAGCACTAAAATATTTCCTACTTATGCTCAATTTGTCTAATATTACACTAACAAACACATATCTTCATCAATACAAGAAAATTATCTTCTGTACCCATTTATTTTAATAGGTTAATTGGCAAATCCACTGAAATCAGTTTCTGTCAATTCATTTAATAGACAACTTTATCACTAAACATTCAGGCTCTTTTCTTTTATTTTTAGACTTATGTGCACAAAAATATTATATCCAATTTAAAATAGAAGTTTTGAAAACTTAATATCCAAGTGTTTTCTTCATAAAATTTAAATTTCTCCTCATTTATTTTGAAAGTGTAAATAAAAAATTCAATGTTTTTTTTCATACTCAAGTGTTACATTTAAAAAAATTCTCACATATAGAATCATTTACTCATCTTCACATGAGAACAGTTCAACTTTTAAATGGAAAATTCTTCACTTATACCAGCTTCCCTGGCCTTTTCCTGATGAGCTCTCATAATATTGGTATCTGGACTCAGGTTCCTGTTGTCATGACCTGTTTTGTAAGGATTTTCAGTAACCAAAGGTTGGTATGCTATGTCAGGTGCAATAATCTCTTTCATTTGTTGCTTGCGAATTTCTTCAACATCCATGCAAGTGGAACAGGCTTGTGACCAGGTAAGCACTGTACATAAAATGGCAAAAAGAGGACCTACCAAAGCAAAATAATAGCCCCAGTCAAGTTTCACTTCTGGAGCCCGGTTCAAAATGACTGTATTCATAACTGGAAAATCATCCCAAATTTCACCTTCTTTGTGGATGCCTGCCAGGATAACACCCACAATTAACATGAGAGCTGAAATATTACAGAATAAAACAAATTTAAAATATGAAGAAATTGTTTATAAAAGAAATAAATCAACATTTTGTTCGTGAATTCATAAAAAGATCTAAATCAGTTAAAATAATGGTGTACAAGAAAATCTTATAGACTATTGTAGACTTGTATTAATCACTAATGTAGAGTTTTGAAGACTAGAAATGCTTGAGAGAAAGCCAATTTAGGATTTTACTTTAGATAGAGATATATATATATATATATATATATATATATATATATATATATATTTAGGCAGCATATCTTAATTCAAACATGTTTCATTGAATAATATAAACATCATGTCTATTTATTTTTATACTGATTCTTTCCAGTTCTCTAATCAGTTTTTTGATGCTAAGATAAAATTCATCAATAATTATTTTAAAATTTTAAATTTATTCATTGTAGATATGGAATTTTTTGCAATCAACCAATGCTCAACAAAATTTGTTACAACTGTAGCAGCAATATGTTGAAGTGCATATAAAAAAACATTTAATGCCATTTTGCATGCTACCAATTTCTGGTCAGCTCCTTTTTGCAAAAAAAAATAGAGTGTGTTCCTGTGTGTTTTAAAAAAAAAAAAAAAATTAAAATCACCACCACAATGAAATGCAGATTTTATCATAGTTACAATAAGTTTGTCTTTGCAATTTATCCCCGAGGATGATCTTGGAGGAGATTGAAAGTACTTGGGTAGGAAAAAACTATGGTGCGTTCCTTGATGAATTTCATCTTAACATCAAGAAACTGATTAGAGAACTGGAAAGGATCAGTATGAAAATAGACATAATATATCTATATTATTCAATGAAAACACATTTTATATATATATATATATATATATATATATATATATATATATATATATATATATACACACACACAAAGAAACAGTCAATTTTGCATTGGTAATAAATATTAATCCTTATATAGTAAATGAAACAGTTTTTGATGTCTTATAAAATAAAGTACATAATTCTTTTAACAGAGAACTTTAGTGAAATTAAACAGCTCATAACTCGGACAATCACATTTTCTATATATATATATTATTAAAACTGAACATATAACCAAAATTTATTCAAATCTACATCTGTTTTGTTTTTTAAACCAGATGCTTTACCAGAAAAGCTGCTGACCTGAACACTTATTACAAAATAGATTTCAGCCTGATAAAAATGACAAGTCGATTTTATTGATCAGTGTACAACCAATATATTGGCTATTTTTATTGCAAAATGCAGATGCTATTGTGTAACCAATGTTTTTAATATCTGAAATCAGTGCACTTATATAAAGAGTAAACTAGTTAAAAAGATAATTATCAAAAGTATATGTTATACTTACTTGAAAACATTAGAGTTCCACCAAGGGCAATTTCCCCAACTACAGAACTGTACTTACGACAGGCCAAGATGAAAATAGTTGCAGTACTTATTGTCAAACCCAACATTCCAAATGAATAGAATATTTGTGCTATATACATTATTTCTGGAAAAAAAAAAATTATATCTTATAATTCCATATTTTTAAATGAGAAATTTTTGCAATAACTTTCTGACAAACATCATCAACTTTAGTTCTTTCAACCTAACATTAATGTTGGCTGACATCATATTACCAGGAGGTAAACAAAAAGGCAACAAATAAAATTAATTGAAAAAGAGAATATAAAAAAAAAGAACAAGTATTTCTTAAAAATTAATTGAATTTTTGATAATTAAATGTTTTTCTTTTAAATCATCATACATGCACACAATCATTTAATAATGCATCTTTAAATGCTGTTGCTTTTAATTAATGTCATTCTTGTGTAATCAAGATCATTTTAATATAGATTGAAAAAATTGCTTGAGGGGATATTTCATAAAATTATTCTAGTTTAAAAAATTTCATGATGACTGAAGAATGAAAGAAATTCAATAAATCACTCCTTCAATTTTTCCCTTTATTTGTTATGTATCTTCAGAATATAGGTGATTATAGCTCTCCACAACTCTGTCTTTTGTTGCTTACAGTAATACTTGCTACTTTACAATAACTGGCTTTTTAGTACATGTTCTTCCAGCCATTTGCTTAAAACTATGAAGTATTTTCTTTCTTGCCTTCAATGTGTTCTGTTTGAAATGTTCCAAGCCTGCAAACTTCAGTTGCCTCTTTCTGATTATTAGTTACTTTTCTCCTTAAATTTCCTTATTTATTATATGCTGTCTGCAGTATTCTTGACATTTGACCTGATTTTGACTGCTTCAAAGTTTTGCCTTCATTTGTTTACCATTCAATGCCATATCAGAGCAATCAAGCATTTTTTCATTTTGAATGTTATTTTTTGATCCTTTAATACCTAGCCACGAAAAGAATTTAATATGCATTTCAAATAGCTACTTTGATGAGAGAAACTGTAACATTCTAGTGTATTTTGGAGAGGAAGTTTGGCTTTAGGCTTTTGCATCCAATATTGAAAATATTTCCTTTAAAATTATCATATCCCTACATTTATTTTTAGTCTAATTTAAGAAAAACCAGCACAATAATTGCATAAAATATCATTCATACAACTGCCAACTCTTTAAATATGAAAAACTGATTACATATAAGTCTTGAAAAGTGACCATCATTGATGCTGTCTTGTAGTAGTAAATGTATTTTTCATATGAATTTAAAATATCTGCAACAGAACAGATCAAGTTATAAACAGTTTAGATGCATAATTTCTCTTCCTCTTATATGAGCTTTGACTACTAACATGATCTGAGAGAAGTTGATCTGTGGTGACCCAAATATATATGGGGCACACCCTAACTGATACCAAAGTAAGCTATGCACTGTGTTACACTAGAACATCAAAAAACCAAGTACATTTGGAGGGTTGACCTAGAAGGTATCCTCATAGCCACCAAGTGCAGAATTGGGCCTCAAAGTAGATCAGTGGCTGCACTGACTTATAAACAGGAATTCAACCCAACTGAACTTAAATGATACATACACAAGACAACTGGATGACATAAATTTATATGAATGTCCCACCCACAAGGTGAAAGTCAGGGTCACACATATTCTCACAAGATTTGAACATTCATTTTTGAAGCCATATACCCTCACAGCCAACATTAAAGTGATAGAGTTCAAAAGTGAATAAGCCATTTTATATATGAAAGATTTAATCTCATATTCTTATTAGATGTTGCTAAGATAATGCTATAGATTATTATTTCAGCAAGAAAATGAAATCCCACTCTTAGAATATGTAGTACTCTATTAGCCCTCAAACTTAACAGATTTAAATTCCACTGGGTATGAAGGGGAGATTTTTTGGTACTTTAGTTTATATTTTAATACAGCATAGGTAATATTTTGGCTGGAAATAAAAGTAGATACACACTTAAAGTCAATTAAAAGAAAAAGAAAACAAACTTACTTGGAACCACAAAATCTGGAGAGTTCTTTTCCAGGTGAATAAGAGACACCATCTTGGTATTCAGAATTTCAAGTTTCATGAAGTCAGCATAAGGATACAGCATATAGAAAAGACCAACATGAACCTTGGGAATAACAAGGTCATCAAATATTTTGCCTCGATTAATTGCCTGCCTCTTCCTTCGACTCAAAAAGTTCTTTCTAAATATTTGCTCAAATAGTGCTTCTCGTTTTCTTCTTCGACCAAAGATATTTGAAGTTGTGCTGAGTGGGGTAGAGCTGGAGATAGTACTGACAGTGGTTGTGGTTGGCTGGTTGATGGAAATGGCTGGTCTGGTGGTAGTAACTGTTTTATTTTGTTGAGGATAAAAGTCCACAATGTACCAATAGGGCAGAAAAAAGGAAGTCAGGCAAAGAAGCATTGTTACTAACAAGAAGTTTGAGATCATAAACAATCGTTTATATTCAATCCAATGTTGGCAGCCCATCTTGCTGATGTGACAGAGGGAACCAATCTAAATAAATAAAAAAAATTAAAGATTTTATTGGAGAGACAAAATTTTAAAATTGCTATGATATTCCTCTCTCATCAGAAGAATTAAAATACTTACTTTCAGCCATGCACAGGACTCAATCAAAAGCTCTGATCAGAGAGGAATGTCTGTTTTTATAGCAATGTAATATTCCTCATATACTTTTCCGGTTTCCAATATCTTTTTTGTTTCTCTTAATATTGCCATTTATTGTGGCTGTATTTTCTTTTGTTCAATTTCCTCTTCTGTCTTAATATGTGTTTTTATAGTATTGATTAAAAGAATACCCTAATAATTGGTTAATTCTTTGATTCCACTATACCATAGTAAATCCTTTTAAAAAAGTATATTTAAAAATATTTTCAAGACCAAAGGGGAAAATTTAAATCAATACTAACAGTTCAAAGCATCTTTTAAAATCCTTTAAATTTTTTAATACAAAAGTTTATCCAATAGAGGGCTCAAGAGCCACTCAAGGCGGAGAGGGGGGTACTGTTAAAATGTCTATGATGAATATGATGTGACATGAGTGAAAGAGGATGTGATAAGAAGTGAAGATTGATTTGAAGATTGTAATGTTCAAGTAAGCATCCACACAAAAGTCTCTTCCACAAAGTAGCAGTTCTTGAGAAAAAGCTGTCCAAGAGGAACTTTCTCATTACAAGAAGGAAATGAGGGTGATTTGACTGTGGAAATAGCATGGTGTTTTTTTTTGGGGGGAGGGTAATGATTTAACTCCAAGCAAGGCAACAAAAGCCACTAAGATGCAAGTTGTTACAGAGAGGGAAAGAAACAGAAAACAATAAAAGAATGAAATTCAAAGTGACAAGAGGACACTTGACATTATATTTATTTTTTTGAAGATTGTAGTTGACAAGGAAGCTGGAAGAGAGCTCCACAAGTGAAAGGTGTGAGAGAAGAAACTATTAGCATAGAATATACAGTTACAACTAGCAATTTCAGCAGTGTAATTATGACACCTAGATGCCAATCTAGTACTGCACTTAAATTTTTGAAGTCAAGGTACCAAAGAGGAAAGCTTATCAGAATAATTATCATGAAATTATTTATAGAAAAGGCACAAAAAAAAAACTATGCTAAAGTTGATTTTCCAGTTCAGAACCAATGACATTGCAGATCCTTCTTTGGATTCTGTCAATAATTTCTATACATACAGCAGAAACACCATATGTGGCAGCAATATTTGATCCATGGATAAATGATTGACTTACAAATGTGCAAGATAGATTCTGGTGAGAAAAATGGTCTAGACAACATAGTTAACCGATCTTCTTAGAAGCAGGCTTAGAAATGGATTTGATACAATCTTTTCACTACATGTCAGTGGAAAATGTGAGATCAAAAAAAGTACAGAGAGTTGCTTTCCTGGAGGTTAGCATTAAATCTGCTGGTTGAAGGCAAAAAGATTTTGTAAGGTGATTAAAAAAAAAAGAAAAAAAAAAAGAGTAGTTTCGTTTTGGAGGTATTAACAAGTCATCTTTGTCTCAATTAACAACAGATTGAATAGATTAATTTGATTTTATCAAACCTATCAGACTTACTATGAAGACAAGTGTAAATAGTTGAGTCATCAGCATAGATATTGAATTGGGATCTGATGATATCAAGAAGGTTGTTGATGAAAATAAAGAAAAAAAGTAGGTCCAAGAATAGAGTCCTGAAGGATATATGCATTAATGCAAAAAGATGTAGAGGAGTGGCTGTTTAAGGTAACTTTCATTACGTAATTTGATAAGAAAGATGGATCAAATCAAAGAAATAGTCAGAAATGCCATAACCTTTTAGCTTATGAAGAAGACCAGTATGTCAAACCCTCTGCAACAGTCCAAGCCTTACCGTGAAAGCTTTACAAATGTTTTCACCAACAACCATCAACACTTTCTCAGTTAACCAAGAGAAATGAAACCCATGTCTGAAAGTGAAGCGAGATGCTTAATCAATTCAGAGTTGATTTAGAGCTAAATGAAAGGTAGAAGAATAATAGGTTGATAGTTTAAAGGATCAGATAGTTCATCAGAGTTCTTAAAAACAGGAAATACAGAAGAGTGTGACACTATTTAGCAATGGTAATTGGCTAACTAATTAACCATAGAAATTAAAAATGGGAAATACTTAAGGCAAGAAAGAGCTATATCGAAAGATAGACTGAGCGACATTAAAAAGAAGAATTTATTTTATTTACAAAAAAAGATACTTTTTGCAAAAGACAGAAAATCCGTAAGAAAAAGCAAGATTGTGATTCTGTCAAAATTAATTAATGTCACAATAAGGGAGTGACACGCCAAACGAAACAGAATTCAGATAGAAAAACAAAGCCGGCCAACGCATGTGGCCATGGAGAATTTAGGCTTGAGGCCACCCTGGAGAATAGATATTAATTATCTTTCAGAGCTATCATTTAACTTTAATTCCTGGTTCCAGCGAAGGTAGCCATCTGGTATATGCACGAATCTTGACATGAGAAGGAAAATCGAAAAGGGAATCATTATTATTGCTTATTCAAACTGTTGATGTCAGAAAATGAGCATCTGGTGATAAGAGAATTTTAAGGCATGAGAAAAATAAAGAATTTGATTCTCAAGTAAATATGACCACCCAGTTAAAAGTTGACTAGCAGAGAAGCCAGATGTCGGGTTTTTGACAATGATTAATGAGTCGGTAGCGGTCCGGGCTTAGTGGATTTGGGTGTCCCCAAAATCAAGATGTGATAAAGAATTGGCAATCTGGGATTTGTAAATGTTTTGGCTGAAGGAAAAGGAAAAAGAAAAAAAAGGATTTTGCAAACAAAATTCTGGAATAATTCTAAGAGCGCCCGTCTAGCCATGCCCACACTGCCAAGAGATCATTGGCCAAGTGGTGGCATGGGTGATAGGTGGAGGTGAATGTATGAGAAAGACGGAGAATTTGTTAACACCCACTGAGAGGATTGGTATGAGATTACTAATGTGAGAGAGGAAGAGTCTAGGAGGATAACTATCCTCCGACCTTCCCTCACGGACGAGAGAGAAATCCCCGAAAAGGAAAGTGATTAATCTTCCAAAAATGGGAAGTAATTAATTTTCCTGGCAAAGAGAATTCTTGTTGGGAATTGAGAATTATCGAGAACCCAAACCACGACAGGTCCCCACACAGGGCTCTGGTTGGTGTCCATATAAACGAATGTCTCAAGGCAGTCAGTGAGAGTTCGGGTTTGCAGTCAGTTCCAGACAGTTCGAGTTTGGAGAGTTGAGTTGCAGTTGGAGACCAGCCTCACAGAAGATGGCAGAAAGATTTCCACGTCCTCTCAACTTCATCTTCCTACCAAAAGCAAGTTTTTATTGACGAACGACTTAAGATACCATAACTCGCTTAAGAAACGCAAAAAGTGTCATGAATCCATAGAAACGGGCTGGGAGAGAAACACACTCCTGTATTCAACAGATAAAGATAACTGTTATTTCTCAACATATTTGAACCTCTTGAGTTTGTTTTATTATTTTTTTTTTTTTTACTTACTCTTGTGCAATATCACCTTTACCCCGGATTCAGCTTGCCCTATGGCCTGATGCCTGATTGATTTCGTCTACCTAAGATCCAAGTTACAATGTGGGTAGGTTAGACTTGAGATCAAAGTAATTACTTCGGTAACCAGACGTTGGAAGTGAGCTGTGAACGACAAGTTGGTATCAAACCGAGAACGACCAGATCGACCGGGACACAGGCTGGTGGCAGCGACAACTAGTCAGCCCCAAACGCTGGTGGAAGAAACCTTACAACTTTGTGCTGCAACTGGAAGTTGACCACAGGCTGACGGTGCAGTGTCATATATTGACGTCATGACCAGTGGACGTCACATATTGGCGCTGGACTGCAACCGTGACCACCGGTGGGTGTCACAAGAGGATTTGTAACAATCTGGAAAGCAAGAAACAGCAAGGCATCTATTGTAGAGTTTGGAGAGAAAAGGAGCACATTTCTTAAGGACAATAGCAGAGATAGCATTGAGTCCACTTGTTTTGTGAGGATCAAGTTTTGGAGATGATAACAGAAAACATGAATGGAGTTATAAGCATATCATACAGTAGAGACTGTGTTCTAAATGAAAGTCAAGCAAAGGTGCTCTTGATAAGTTGAGAGTAGAATTGGAAGAGAATTTATGAGCAAAGCATTCTGCTTTATTAGCAAAAGATGATAACACTTCAAATTGATTGATTAATGAACTCTTAAAGAGATGCCAGTAGTCATGAGAGCCAAACTTAAGAGCCTATATGATGTCTTACTATCAGCAAATAACAACTTGACCTCATTGAGGACATGTTTGCAATTATTATGAGTGGACAAAAAGAGGCATCCTTTGGAATCAAAACTATCACATTGGTATAGCCAGAAAAGGTGATTCCTGTGTGCTATAGCAGCTGAACAGGCACCCAATAAGAAACTTCAGTGGTACAATTTTCAATAGGAAGATTAAAGATTTCACTCCAAGATGTATCACAAAGAAAATTGTAAAATTAATTTCAATCAGTATACTGGTAATACAAAGAAATCTTGTGAATATTTTGTGCCTAATAGAGGAGTTAAAGGAAATATCTATAAAAGGAAATGTTCTAGCTGTAAAGTTCTGAATTGGTGGAAGAAAAAAAATTGGATCTCATCTGAACATGTTGTAGAAATAGATTAGTGACATTGTGTAAGGGGCAGAGTGGAGAATAAGTCTGTAAAGTGGGAATTGAGTAGCTCCAGCCCAGATATAGCAGGATGCTCCATCTTTAGTCTGACTTGTAAAAATAAAACATAATAGAAGTAGCCAGATACTTCTTGGATTGGTAGAATGAGCCAGAGATTTTTCTAGTATCTTAAAGGCCACTAAAACACTTCTGAATAAATCTAAGTTTTAAAATATTATTCTCAGACTTAATTTAAAAAAAAAAATCCACAAAATTCAGTGCTAGTTTATGGGTTGCCATGCTGCTCATATATATGGGGCATGCACTGTATTTAATAATTTTGTCCTGTGTCCTATTGTTTTTAAAATATTTTTATCAGAACACATTAAATATCCTCTTAAGACAATTTAAATAAAAAAGAAAAAAGAAAATGCAAAATTTTTAATTTAACCAAGCTGATGGTCTTAATTTACTTTTGTAGACACAAATTAGAAATCATCTGAATTTAAATTCAAACAAAAGTTCCTGTATTTCTATTTGGCATACCTGGCAGCCCTAAATAACAAATGCAATAAAGTGATATTCTAAAGATGATGCATTCAATTTATACAGCTTGGAAATAAATTTCCAAGATGCTTTTATTGATTCTGTCATCTTTAACCTTAATTATTAACACTTTCTAATATAAAATTCAAATCCTGAATATTCTTCATAATATTTGGGATGAGAGTTCAAGAAAATTGAATTTGGGGTGCAGTTGTACAATAGGTGTTGTAACCAGAAGTAATAATTCATTTTATTTTTTATTCATTTATTTTTTTTTACTTTATTTAAGCATTTCAAACAACGACTATTTGAAGAAAAAAAAAGACGAATGCTACACCTCAATAAGTGAATTGCAGACATCATGTAATGATTGTATGCAATGGCATATGAACCTTTCCTCTTAGTTTGTTGCGATGGAAAAGATGCTACACAAAGTATTAATTCCCAGTGCCTAAAAAGAACTAGACGATCATTATCCAATGTCAACTGAATAAAATAAACAAGCTTAATGAATCTGTCTATGTTTCTGAGATGAGGTATTATGTACATTATTCGGACTATTGTCCTCATCTTTGTCGCCATATTTATTACATTTCAGCCGTTGTACACTCCGGCCTTCTTCAGGTGGTTGGAATGTCGAACTGGGGTAGACTGTTCTAGTTCCACGTGCCATGTTTAATGGATGTCAGTTATCAGTTATCTCCTAAAGGACACATGGCACAGTGGATAAAGGCGTTAGTTAGATCCAGTGACAGGACCCAAAGAGTGTGAGTTCAATACCCGGAAGAACTTTCAGAGGTAAATTAACAGGAGATAACTGACATCCATTAAACATGGCACGTGGAACACCAGTGAGCGAAATAAAGGGTTCAATTCCAACCAGAATGAAGAAGGCGGGAGCGTACAACGGCCGAAACGTTGTATGGCGACAAAGATGAGGACAATAGTCCGAATAATGTAAATAAGGAGCTTAAATGGATATAAAAAAATTGTGGCTGTCAGTTGATGAGAAAAAAAAATATTCAAAAGAAACTAAAAAATATTCATTTATTCATTTTTTTAAATTAACAGAGAGCGGTAAATGAAGTTTAGAATTAGAAAATTTGCTAGAACTTTTTTAATTTTTGAAAGAAAACAAGTTAATTGAAGAACAAAGAACTTGAGAAGATTGTTGCTGCAATATGACCCTTAGTATCCAAAAGTTGTTCTGATCGATGTTTTGGATATGTCAAACTCAAAATCAGCTGGCTGTAGGAAAACAAAAAATCTTTCAAAAAAGATCATTTTTTCCCCACAGAAAATAGCGAATAGCTGGCTTCATCTCTAAAGCATTCAAAAAAGGAACCAACAAACAACCGTACGAATAGGAATTGAATATATATCTGATAATATATTTCGAAAAAGATAAAAAAAAATGTAATTAAAAATTAAAAAGAATAAACAAAAAAATTTAACTCGCCGTTTTGCGCATGCAACTAGATTCTTATAGACTTTTTTTTACCAAAATAAAAAGTAAAAAAATAACGTTAATGTCATTATTCAATTTTAATTCAACAAAAATACCTGGAAAAATAATATTTTGAATTACAATAATAATACCGTAGTTGTTTATTTAGAAAACGAATCTGTAACTTTTGTTACTACGGAATAAAACAACTTTTCTTTATCGTTTTCAAAATCACTTTGGTTCCAACCACTAAATAAAAAAAACCCAAAAAAACAAAAAACACGAAAAACAACAAATTATGATGTGGTTGGGAGAATAGAGCATTTAAAAATCATTTTTGTTTGAAGTTGGACAACTGAAGTTAGAATTTTTCCCCTTAGGAGTTTGGTTTGCCAACAAAAACAAGCCAATCATTACATAAAAATTCATTCTTTCATAAAATAACACAATGTTTGAGTAAGTGAAATTATTATATTTATTTACTAAACTTTACCTTTGTTTTGGTACAGGGCTGTAAGTAAGGCACCCAATAAGGATCGAACTCTTAATAATAGTCAGTCGTTGCTAGCCATTACCAGACATCGATGAGCCCTTGTTTCAGTAAGTTTAATAATGAAAATAGTAGAGGTCTCTTTATTAAATAAGTAAATTTTTTAAAGTAAACCAAACCATGTTCATAAGTAAATATTACATCACGTGACATTTATGTTATGCGACATTACGGTGAATAATTAACTCAGGTAAAAAAAATGATTACCATCTCGACTGGGGTGTGGTACATAATTAAATTAATTTATCACAAACAATTGACGACATAAACATCGTAATTTTTAAGCATATGCGCATTTATGCAGTGTAGTAATTAAAACTTAAGTAAGTAACTGTAGAAAAAAAAAATGCTGACTTTTTTATATGGAATAAAATAAATTATTCAACATGACTTTTTTCAATCTGCTGAGCTGAACTTATAGTTCGCTTTTTAGTTTATTAAAAAAATAGTATCATTCTCAAATGATATTTAACAAATTAAAAACGATAACACATGGTATTTGATTTTTATAAAGTTGTCATTTACTTAGCTTAGTTTTGGGTGGCACGAGCATGGGGCACCCAGTGAGGATCGAACTCATTACTAATGGAGCAAGCAGACACCCATACCAAGACGTCCTAATTCATGGAAAGGAAAGTTAGTGTGCAAAATTTTAAAATAAAAAAAAAATTAAATTTTTTTTTATTTTTTTTTATTTAATTTGAAAGTACTTGAATTTTTAAAGTGAACCAATGGAAAAAGTACCTCTAATAATTGAACAGCTATGAAATTATTTTTATTATGGTTACTTTGTTTTTTTTTCTCTTAAATGAAGAAGGGAATCCAATTTTTAGGTAAAGAGAAAAAAAAATGATATTTTTCCTAAAAATAAATTTATATTTTCTTTATTGGAATGTTTTTCTCTTTTTGAGTAAAAATTAGTTCAGTGACAAAATAAAATAATCATTACACACTTTATTTCTTATTAAATGGGTAATATAAATTAGTAATTGATGATTGATTGTATGAGAAGAATATTTAACAAAATTAAAAGAAAAACAACAGGTCTGTTTCTAAAGTTTCTATGCACAATAGTTGTTGCCGCCATTTAGTGTCACAGTAGTAAAGAAAGCGTCCACTAAAGCAGGTAAAAACGGTGACAGTCACAAATTAGTCTTTCTTTCGTCTTCAATAACTGTTAAGGTGGTATGTAGGCAGGAAAAATCAATAAAAGCATATCAGTTCAACAAAAAAAAATATATATGTATACCTGAAAAATCTGAAATGTGGTACTTTAAATTCGATAAGTCCAGTCATCAAACAGGGAAAGAAAAGAGCTTCGTGGTCTAATGGCGGATACTTTCAAACACACTCACCTGTCAACGTTAATAATCCGACTTTGACCACATTCTTTACCAAGGGAACTAACTTAATGGACACATTATTAACATTCCTGAAAATTTACTAAATATTATCAGGATTTTGTTTTTTTTAATAAATAGTTTGTTGCTCTAATTTAAATATTAAATTTATTTTTATTTCACAATTCATATCAGCATGAATGCATTTGAAAAACAATTTGTAGTAGTTGAATGAATAATTTGCACTTTAACATTAAAAATTATAATTAACATTTTCAGCATTATCTTCATAATATTTATTTAATTCATTTATTTATTTTGCATTCCAACATTATAAATATAAAATATAGTACTTTCTTTTTATGTATCTGATTAAAATTGCTTATTTGTTGGAAGTTCAGTAATCTAATTATCATAAATATATTGCAATGGTGATTTTTTAAGCATAGCTTAGATGTGGCACGAGGTTGAAAGTGTGGGACACCTAGTGAGGATCAAACTCACTACCTGTCATAATTGTTCTAGCAAGACAAGATTGCTAACCCTTACACCGTGTCTGGGGGCCTAAATAATTTTCTAAGTGTAGCTTAAATGTGACACAAAGCCAAAAATGTAGAGCACCTGGTGAGGATTGAACTCACTACTCAGTCATAATTGATCTAGTGCAACAAGCTTGTTAATCATTGCATCATGTCAAAGTGCCCAACAAATATGTCATAATGACTGACAATCATCTAAAATGTGAATTGTTCAGGATGATAGGGTAAACACATATGTACAGTATTATCACCACAAAAGAAATTTCTTTTTAGATCACAGGTATATCCTGAATTAGTTTACCAACATAAGAGAAAGCATTTAATCTGTGATGGCTTACCAGGATATTTTTAGTATTATTTTATCAGAAACTTTGGACATAAAACAAAATGAGTCAAGGATATAAAATAAATGATACATTTTTATTTATTTGATTTTGTCAATTCTTTCATAATTAGTGTTGCAAAATGTTAGTTTATAAGGTGGATATTGATGGTAGTCTGGAGAAAGTCTGTTTTGACTCTTAACTACTTCATGCATTATGCATGGCTGGTTTCTCCAGTGGGTGCATCTTTTGCTGTCACTCTCTTTGTCTAGCTCAGAGCTATGAGCTTATGTCCTTTTGACCAGGCTATGAGACTCTGGTGTGAACCTTGGTTTCAGCTAACATCAAAAGTGTCTTTGTGTTTTTTGATTGGCCAAAATTATTCTATTTTATGGCATTCTTTACTTTTTCAAATTATTTTTTATATAACAGAAGTTATGCATAGAGCCTGTCTTACTTTTGTAGATTTAATGTCAAAAATAATAATGGCTTTGCTCCTGCAAACTTTTGGTGATTTTTGATCAGATTCAGTCTTTTCTTCTTCCTCTTTTTATTTGAGGGTTGCCTTATTGTTAGTTAAGAAAGAGAGAGAGAGAGAAAAGAAAGCTAAAGTTTTTAAAGGAAAGCATAAATGCTTTATTTTAATCTGAATTCTTTTTATCTTTGTTTATATATTTTATTTTAATTGGGACTCACTACAAATATTAGACAGTACAGCGTGACTTTACATCTGCTTGATTCTGTCTCTTCCTTCCTGCAGTACATCATTCAATTAGGGATGAACACATCCAATGCTGAAAAAAGCTACCTGTTCAGTTCATTTCAAAAATTTAATTTACCTTTCCACTGAAGTCTATGCTGACTCCTTGAACACTATTTACTGTCAGCTTCATTCAATTTTCCACCCAAAGACATTGCTAGAATATGCACACAAATATATGAAGAATCTGACACATAGTTATTAGCTGAATTTTGATCTGATATTTTCATTTTATAATATTCAGGTCATGTGACTAATATTTACTACTGAATTAAGTTCACTGATAAGGAAAGAGATTGTTAAATGCGTTTTTTATAATTAGTCTGTAAACTTATAGATGTACCTGTATAGTTTATTTTCCATCTATCAAACTAACAATTTCAATTGAATAAACATTACATAAATATTCAAATACAACCTTATTGAAGGCTTTTACTTGAACCTTATCATGAAGTAATATTCAATTGATGATCTATTCAGGCTTCAACATCTTGACATTTTTTTGTTCTTTTTAACTGTTAATCAGTAAGATTTCTTGTTTATTGTGTAAATAGTCTTTATTTTTTTGAATATCTGTTTTTTACTTTCTCTTAAAAGTTTAAATTATGTATTATGGGGATTAGCTACACCTAGTCTACCGAAAAAGCCTTCTAGGTAGTGCTGCCCAAAACTATAAAAAGGATGGGATAATAAATCCCTTTCTCTCTTTTGTTCCAAAATGCTACAGCATCAACATGAATCTTGTCACTGCTGAGTAAAATTTCTTTCCTTAAGGGAGGTCAGTTGCTAAACTCCAAACTCAGTTACATGGCATATCTCTCTCTCTCTCTCACATACACACATTTTCTAACAACAATGCCTGTTTTCTTCCTTTTAAGCTATCTGTATGCACACAAGTATATTTCTCATTTCTTGAATTGTTATTCTTTACATAAAAAGATACGTTAAATTCCTTCACACATTGAAATTTATTCTTTCTGAAAATGCGGAATTCAATTTCTTCAAAAGTTCTCAACTTCAACCATTACAAACTGTAGACAATGCATTCTCCTACAGTATTAACTTCATAAAAAGACATTTGTAGGATTTAAAATCCTACATTCTTTTCAAAACATCTTAACATAGGCTCAAAGCAGAAATACAGAATGATGTGTTCTGATTGGTTATTAAATGTGAAAAATAAGAGATGATGTGTTTTCGACTATGTCATTATTCCAATATTCAGACTTCATGTTAAAAACCTATTTTTAACATAATAGTCTGCAATATATATAATATATATTGCAGACTATTATGTAAAAAATAGGGAAAATTTATGAAGTCTGAACAAACTTACAACTTGAATATACAAACTCAATATAAAATATCTGATCAAAGAAAGATAACCCTTTCAAACTCTCAGTAAATCTTTTGAAATTTACACAAATTATTTGCAAACATAAACTGTTTTAAGTTCACCATAAATACCTAAATACTGAAATATACTTTCTCATATTTTAACATACATTATTACAACATAGAACCTTTTGATCCAAAATATTATTGACATTCAAATTATCAAACACAAAAACATTTAAACAATTTAAAATATTACTCAACAAATATTGTACTTGTTATTGTACATAAATATAATCTATTCATTGTTAATGCATATTTTGCCTTGAATTTTGTTATTCTCTTGTCGTTGTTTATTTTATTACATTTGTGTTAATATAAATGCAGCAGGGCGTTAGCTAACCCCTATTTTGGAAATCTAACTTTCATTCTGTAAAAAAATATGGCATGTCAAACAGTTTTTCCATTGATACTGCTATTATTTTAACTACCTTCAGTTCTCAGCAATGTTTATTGTTTTAAAAAGCAATTAGAATTTTAATAAAACTTAAACATAAAAGTGAATTTATACATTTTCTTTGTTGTTAAGAATTGACAACAAAAATTAATAAACACTATTTATTTATTATATTGTTTATTTACACTATTATATTTTTTATTTGAATGCTTGGCAAAACATTGGTTAAGTGGCAATTGATTCAAAATAGTAAATAAGGATTTCCATATACTCGGTTCACATATTTTAATAGTTTAGTAAATACTTATGAATAAAAAAACATTTTCATAATTATTTCTTTATAAATTGGTAAATGATAAATATTGCATGTATTAGTTTTGAAAATGTAAATATAAAATTATTCCTGTAAATAAACAATCTAATAATTAGTGTTTAATATTTTTGTTGTAAATTCTGTTCAAAGCTCAAGAAAGGCCAGGTTCATTGTTTAAGTTTTATTTCAATTCTAATCATTTGGCTTAAAAAATTACCCTTTGGTCAGATTGTTACCCATGAGTTAAAAAAAAAACAATTTAAATGGGAAAACCATTTTTTATTCTTATTTTACTTTTTATAAGTGAGTGAAGGTGAGTTGAGGCATAAGTGAGTGGGTAGGTGTGCAGTTCAGTGGTTTTTGTCTCAAGATTTCGTTTTAACAACATTGGTCTTTCTGTTTTCCTATGCATGGGATGGTCAGTAGCTGTAGTTCATAAAATAGAATTTATGAACTACAGCTAGGAAACAAAATGATTGTGTGAAATTGCATGAAACTGGAAGTCATGGTTGGTGACAAAACTATATAAAAGAAAGACTTAAAGTGTATATATATATATATATATATATATATATATATATATATAAACAAAAAAGCTAAGGTAGAAGTTACTCTGAATATTTCAGAAATACTTCATCTCATTAAAATTTTTCAAAAATCAAATAGATTACTAACTTTATTTTTTGTTACCTTTTTAAAGTATTTTTTTTAAGCAATTAACATTATTTCTCATTACTACAAATGTTACATTTACTGGGTACATGTGTTTAGGTAGACATCTGTTTTTTAAAATGGTGAAATATCTGGCAGCCTAGAGATTGAAAATCTTAAATAAAATGTGTCTCTCAAACATTCATAAATTAGTACGTGCCTGCATTGGCTACTATGCTAATTCACATCGCTTCAAGAACTCTGACAAGAACTCATTTCCTTTGAATTACAAATCACAAAACAATGAAACATATATTCATTTTTTTTGGTCTATCTATTTCTTGAATTTGTACCTACTGTCCAATCATATTTAGGAAAAGTTAGGCTCAAACATATCCTACTGTTTCTTTGGCAATGTAGGGTCACACATGAAATTAGAATCATCAGACAGAGTTATCAAGAGGTGGTGTTCTACTGAATACCAATTCTGTGCTACAGCCACTTTATCAGGGAATAAATTGCAATAATCAAGAAATATTA